AAGAGACTGAGAAGAATGCTCCAGAAAATGGCATTTTTGCGACTAATTTCATACATTACAATCAAAAGAGGAGGCAGAAGGGGCTACATGAAATCTATTGGTGATAGATTAGGGAGGGGAGTGAAAGCAAAGCGGGGAACTCTGGGATTGGATGAAAACTCCAACAGACACATGTTTGCAGAGGTGGGGGCAGCAGAATTAACAGTTAACAATGACCACGATGATGATAGTGACAGTGAGAGGATGATTTGTGTCTCAGCTCTGGTGTGGTGGTTGTACTTTGAGGGACTCGGAAAAAGGAAATTTATTTTGATATTGCAAAGATATGTTACCAGGCATTGTAATGCCAAAAAAAAAAACCCCACCCCAAAACAAAAAAACAAACAAACAAAAAAACACCGACAGGCTCAGTTAAGGTCAAGATTGACCTTTGTTAGGGAAAAAAACACCCAAGGACATGACCACCCACTGTGACTCATCTTTTGTTAGGAAGTTGTAACTTCAGACGGTCCACTGTGGTTACTTTAGGTCTCTGAGTCTGTGAGGCTGCCGCGCAGTCCTCTGGGAGCTCGTCAGTTTCAGTACGTGGCCAGGTTTTGGTCCACCCCCACCCCCGCTTGATTACTAGTTGTAGCCAGGGATGACAACCGTCCCCAGCCTAGGCCCCATCCTAGGTGGGGGAGGATGTATTGCCAGAGTTAGAATAACATTTTGTTCTGTGGCTGGGAGAGCCAAGGGAAAAGGTCATTCGTGTTTAAGCTTCTGGCCTGAGATTCCTGCAAGAGAGACAAGTCTGCCTCTTCCAAGGCCGTCTTTGTTGTTTTTAAAAGCTATCTTCTATCCCAGCTCCTGCTGTTTGGACTGGAGTTTATCTGCTCCGAGTGCAGGCAGTATATTCTGCAAACACTTCTTTTTCCCTGGACAGTTCCCAGTGGCTCGTAGGTGAGCTGTTGACTGTTGTAGAAGGTGGGAGGTCCCGTGGCCACAAGCCAACCTTCTGCGGTGCTGTTGTCCTTTGTTGGAGAAGGGAACCTTGAACCTAGTACTTAAATGGACCCGCAGCCTCAGCATGTCCCAGGAGCTGGTTAGAAATGCAGATTCCCAGCCCCTCCCCGGCACTGACTGATCAGAAACTGGGAGGGGGCGTCTAGCAATCCGTGTTCTTACAAACCCTCTGGAGAATTCTGATGTGGACAAAAGTTTGGGACGCACCTGCCAGGTCTGGGGTGCAGCCTGGGAATTTGCATTTCCTACAGCCTCCCAGGCGATACCCACCCAGGGGCCTCCTTTTGAGAGCCAGCGGCTTAGAGAAGCCCAAGTAGCCCCTGGAGAATGTCACACCATTTCTTGGCCTAAGCCTCCTAGCCAGTACTAGGGAGCTGGGGCTGGGACAAAGTGATCAGAAGAAAGTGGAAAGGAAGCTTCTGCCACCTTAAACCCAGACACGGAGGCGTCAGCTCATCGCCAGCCACAAGGAGGAGTGTCCACCACGTACGGTGTCCCCACGACACTGTTTACATGGTTTGCAGGCATCCTCTCCCCTTGGACTCTGCTCTCGGTGTTCCCTTTAGTCCCGGGAACAATGGTTTAAGTAATCCAGAATGGCTTTTTTTTTTTTCTTTCTGATTTGGAAAAGTTTCAGATGTCTGTTTCTGTTTTTCCAGATGCGTTTTTTTTTGTTTGCATTTTGAAACCTGGGTTCAGTTATCAGATCTTCCTTTTATTTGAGTCACCTTTGAATTCTTGTTTGCTCCAGCCTCGGTTTCCCAAAGTGAAAAGTGAACTGTTACCTCACAGGATTGTTGCGACGACTCAATTAAAATGACAGACGCCAAGTTCCTGTCCCTTAGTAAATGCGTAATAAATGTTAGTTTCTGTACTTCTGGTCTTCTCCCAAATAGGTGAGCACAAACTGCAACTCCCACTCCCGGCTGATCAATATGCTGAACTTAGGGCAAAGATAAAGCTGCTGAGAAGTTGGGAGAAGTCTAAGGAATGTGGGGAAACAGAGCAGGGTCCCCCATGGAGGGGGGCTGCAGGTCAGAAACTGCGGGGAGACACAGATGTTGCAGACTGAGGCAGGGTTCAAGGTGTGAGTGTTGCAGAACCTAGAGGAGCCAGCAGCTCGGAGAGGGGAAATGAGAAGTGAAACTGGGCCCTCAGCTGAGCAAGCAGCGAGGCCCCAGCCAGTGTGGCGCGTTCCTCGGGGGCGGGGAGCGGGAGCCTCCTCCTTTGCATTCAGGCAGAGGGACCCTCATTAGGCTGCCTGACTGACCGCCTTTGGTTATTTAGAGGAAATGTTGACTTCAGGGACCTTGGAAATGCCCCGCTCTTCAGTTAGGACAGGACAGGCACAGGTATGACCAGAGCTGCATCTCTCTGGGACCTGGAGAGGGCTGGGTCCTCTTCTGTGACCCTCATTTGACCACAGGAGAGGTGCCATACGTAGCCTTGGCTCTCCCAGCTGTAGGTTCTCTTCAGATCCCCGCTCCCATGGGGCTCAGGGGAGCGATAAGGTGGAGTCTTAGCCCAGCTGCTGAGGGCTCTGGGTGGTGGGGGCTGCTGGGAGGAGCAGTTATCTGGAAGGGCAGAACCCAAAAGCCAGCAGACAAGGAGGTCAGTCTTATCAGGGAGTGCCAAGAACACGAAAAGCTGGGGCCTCGGGAGAGAACGGCTGGGATAGAGCTGTTGGCAGAGCCTGACCAGCTGCCCTTGACCCTGCGGGAAGCAGGGTGCGTGGGAGGCCTGGTGAGGATTCAAGGTGGCAGATTCTGTGGTTTTTCTCCGGAGGCTCTGCAGTTGGATCTGAAGGCAGTTCCGGGGGCGGGGCCTCAGAAATGCCTTCCACACAGCCAGCAGAGTGTGAATAAATGACTTTTAAAAGGTTAATATTTAGATGTTTACATTTAAAAACAAATGATCAATTTCAATGAGATAATTTCGCAAAGTCAGTTGCATTTCCCTTTACTACTAACAACCAAAAAGTAATACTGGTAAGGTATAAAGGTTTGATATTTAGGAGATGAAAGAACTATGAAAAGAAAGATTTTAATTCTCAATAACGAAAATGGAACAAGATAAACAAAGGGAGAGATTTACTTATTTAAGTGCAAATTAAAAATACAAGTATTTCATACCTACTGAAGAAGCAAAATAATAAAACTCAACATTAATGTGCTTATAGGGGAGTAATCACACTCTCACATGGGTATGTTTTCTGGAGAAACACAGGCTGCCGAGAAAATAATCATGCCCTTTGGGGAGAACGCCCAGGAAAAGAGCGGACAGAGAGAAAGTTTATTTGTACAAAGGTAGTTGTAGCCACACTGTTTGTATAGTGAAAATCTGGCCGCCACTTGACCATTTGATAGTCATTGTGCAAAGTAGAAAATATGAATATTTCATCATATGAATAACTTAAAATCATAAATCTGAGGACTTTGGCAATACTTTAGATGGCGTATTTCTGTTAAAACGTGGAATGAGTATGTTATGCGGACACTGACAACTCTCAGACTCTGTCTGATGAAGACATCAGTGCTCTCTGGACTTCTCAGTGATCTAAATCAGTGACTCTTGGCCCTGGCTGGTGTGGCTCAGTGGATGGAGTGCTGGCCTGTGAACCAAAGGTTGCCGGTTCAATTCCCAATCAGGGCACATGCCTGGGTCGTGGGCCTGGTCTCCGTAGGAGTCATGTGAGACACAACCACACACTGATGTTTCTCTCCCTCTCTCCTTCCTTTCCCCTCTCTCTAAACATATATAAAGGAATATTTTAAAAAATAAGTAAAATATTTTAAATCAGTGCCTCTTGGACTTTAATGTGATTACATCATTTGGGGATGTTGTTAAAAGGTGGGTTTTGATTCAGCAAGAGTGGGGTAAGGCTGGAGATTCTAAATTTCTTTTCTTTTCTAAAGATTTTGTTTATTTATTTTGAGACTGAAGGGAAGGGAGGGAGAAAGAGAGGGACAGAAACACCAACATGTGGCTGCCTCTCATGCGCCCGCTACTAGGGACTTGGCCCCACAAGCCAGGCATGTGCCCGGACTAGGAATCGAACCAGCAACCTCTTGGTTCGCAGGCCGGGCGCTCAGTCTACTGAGCCACACCAGCCAGGAGAGGAGATTCTAAATTTCTGACAAGCTCTCAGGTAATGATGGTTCTGCTGGTTCTCCTACCACACTCCGGAGAGCCAAGATCTAACATTCTGGATGGTAGCCACAAGTCATGTGGCTCTGCAAATTCAAATTAATTAAAGGAAAAGAGAAAATTCAAGCCTTATTAGCTCTATTTCAAGTGCTCTGTAGCCATTTGGACTTCTATCTTGGAACGTTCTGATGAGAGAACAATTCCATCATCATAGAAAGTTCTGTTGGGGACAGTGTTGACCTAAGCCATCAAAGCTTGAATGCGAAGGGGGGTTTTTATCTCTTTCTATACAGCTGTTTGAAGTAGACAGTGAAGAGCTTGTTCTGTTCCTTGGCAGTCACAAGTCACACAGGTTTACGTTGGTGTATAAGACGTAGACGGGATAAAGCAGTGAACAGTTTCCAGTAATTAAAATCTTTGATAAGTGATGTCTCATTGACTTGATTGTCAGTCCGTAGATGCGTTGTTGTCCTAGTTACTCTTTGGCTGTCAGTGGGCGATGATTCTAATAAAGCGGTTTGAGTTTCTTTGCTAATTTTTCCTCTTCTCACATTATTAATGTGTACTAGAGGAGATACCGTGTAAAGAAGTATTGCGATGATGTAAAGTATAATTTGTGTAGTTTATGAAAAAAAAAATACGACCCTCCCTTCCCCATCTAGGCGTTTCGTCAGTTTATATTTTTAAAGTGTATCTTCTAAGCAGGATCAATCTGTATTGGGAATCAAAGGATGTGGTCTTGATTTTTGATGACTGGAAGTTTTCTTTTTCTTTCTTTCTCTCTTTATTTTTTTTCTTTCATTTCTTCCTTTCAGTTGGAAATACTGACGATTGCCATTTTCTTTCAGGAACTTATGCAAATATTCCCATGACGTTCTCTCAGAAGAGAACTTTAAAGTTCTGGAACAGCATCAGATCTCTGGACTGAACCCAGAAGAATTAGCAGTGCTTCTCATCCAGAATGACCCTTTTTTTATGCCTGAGGTGAGTCATGACCCCTCGGTTTACGAAACAGGAAGAATATATAACTGTCAGTGTGTGTCAGGGATATGCTGGAGGAGGAGCAGGGAAAAACCTCAAAGTGAGCACCAGGGCTCTGCACCAACAAGTGGGTGGTGTTGAGTGACCTAAAAGATTCCAGCAAGTTCCTTCCTGTTTGAAGTTTTATAAGAATTTGAGTCTGGGGTGCCTCCTCTCCTAGGCTGCTAGGGAGCCGTGTCTGAGCAAGTGTGATCTGGAGATGTAGTAGGACTAATTGATACTTTCCATCATGGTGGCCTCCGGGAAGAGGTGAGCTTTGAATGAGGGTTTTGGGAAAAATGACAGGGTATATTGGTTGAGGTTACAGGCTAGGCTGTTGTAACAAGGAGACCCCAAGATGTAGTGATTCAAATAAAATATAGTTTTATTTCACTGTCACGTGATGGTCTAGATCAGGGGGCCATCAAATGTCAGCCCGTGAACCCAATTGGCCTGCCACATGTTTTTATAAATAAAGTTTTATTGAAACACAGTCACACTCATTCATTTACAGACCGCCTATGGTCGCTTTGTTGATACAAGTATGAGTTGAGTAGTTGCTCTGTAAAGCCTAAAATGTTTACTTGCTATCTGGTTGATTACAGAAAAAGTTTGCCAACTTTTGGTCTTGCCAGATGTAGGCAGGCAGATGTAGCCCAGTGCTTAGTAAGCAGACATAAATAGAAGGGAGCTAGTTTCCTTTTTAAAAGATGTGACCTGTACATCGTATTCAGCATATCTGCTCCCATCTCACTGGTCAGAGCTTATCATGTGGTCACACTTAGCTGGAAGGGAGGCTGGGAAATGTAGTTTCTGTCTGGGAAGCCATGTGTCCAGCCAAAACTTGAGAGTCGTTATTGCTGGAAAAAAGATAGGGACAAGGGCAGATAATTAACATTCTCATCCATAGGAAGTATTAACTTGAAAACCAGAGAGTACTGTTTAAAGAATGGTATCTGACCTGAGAAAAATCCTTGAGTAGAGAACCTAGCCTCACACAGAAAGAGGGGCACAAGGACATAAAGGAGTGGGTAGAAGGGGTGGAGATAAGATAAGCAGGGTTGAAATCCAGGTGGGCCATTGTATTTGACCAGATACCTATGAGGGACCTCTGGCCGGTTAAATACTTTTTGACTCTAAGCCCAGTGTTTCCATGATTTTGAAAATTTACGACATGAGGGGTGTTTTTGAGCTGACCGCTGAGCTTAGGAGAGAGAGAGACATGCAAGGCACTCTGTAAAAATGTGTTTGGGGAGGAAGAAGAGGGAAGGAAAATATATCCCATTTCCTCTCCCCACCCTGTGCGTTCTTTCATCCAGGAGTTTGGGTTTGCCTCCGTTCCCAGGAGCCCAGGGTTTAGAGGTTTTGTTCTGGGGTATCTGTGGCCCTTGGCCTGTGTGCAGCCCCGGCCCCTGTGGCTGCCAGCCCGGGGGAGATGCCTTACACACCAGTCTCGTTCAAGGTCCCGTTGACCAACGGGCATCCTCTCCTTTCCCTTTCACGTGAAGGAACGGTGCGAGGAAGACTGGTGTGACACTTGAGAGGAACGTTGACCTGTGGTCCACCTTTAGTCCAGGGTTAAACTCGGAGGCTTGGAAAGGTCCGTCACCAAGGTCTGACCTCTGCTTTGGTTCTCCAGAATCCCCAAGGAGACTTCTTATTTCAAGTCCCCGTAGAAGAAGGGTAGTAGCTGCTCTTCCTTCTCTGGGGAAGAAGAGGTCAGCAATTAAGAACCCACCAGAAGGTTCTGTTGAGGGGTCCCAGAAAAGCCCACGGACACAAGACCCTCTCAGGGGGATGCTCTTGTCACCCCTCCACCACAGAGAGTCCGAGAAGGAGGCAGTACCATCTGACCCTCTCTTTCCCTTTTAAGAATGTAGAACTCCTGATTAGTGGGTGGGGTGAGGAGGTTCATGCCTGAAGTGTATTTTTAGCTAGTAACTAAATTGCCATTTGCCACTGGTCAGGGGACTGCACCATTTCCTGAACTCTACAAGTCTGAGGAGCTGGTTCCTTTAGTATTCAGTTGACTGTAGCATCGTTAGCTCAGGTCTCTTCAAAAATGCCGGGGGAGTAGAACAAAAAAATTTTTTTTCTTAAGATTTTTAAAATTTATTTGAGAGAGAGAAAAAGAGGGAGAGAAACATTGATGTGAAAGAGAGACATCGAATGATTGCTTCTTGTATGTGCTCAGACCGGGGACTGAACCCATAACCCAGGCTTGTGCCCTGACCCGGACTCAACCAGCGACCCTTTGCTTTGAGGGGCGATGCCCAGCCAACTGAGCCATGTTGGTCAGGGCGAGCAGGGTATTTTTGTAGGGGTTTTAGCAGGATGGGTCAGCCAGGTTCAGCTCATTTCACGAAAACTTGGTCAAGGGTGGTCCTCCCATGTCTCCAAGTCCTGACTCAGCCACTCACTACCTGTGTGATCCGGGACGAGGCATTTGATGCGTCTGCGTCTCACTCCATTTGTGCTTCACTTTGCACTTGTTCGACTGCACTTGGTGCCGGCAGGTGGTGGGCACCCAGTTAGACCTTGGAGGTGGCAGTGGACACCACACACTCCCTGCCCTAAGAAACTCAAAATGTTCATACTTTTTTAAGAATCTTAAAGTATCAGACAAGCCTGACTTCCTGGCATATAGTTGTGAAATTGAAATGTACTCATGAAAGGAAGTAATGTTTTCCTTTGTTCTGGTCTATGGAAGGTCAGGAGCATTCAAACTTGAACTTAAACATCAGTGTGGCAATAGGAATGTTAAAAGTATCATTTGTGGAAGTTGCCAATTGTTCTTTTTTAGCTAGAGCCTCTGGGACACTAGTCCTGTAGCTTTAGTGTGAATTACCTGGAGGGTTTGTTAAAACACAGATTGTTGGGGCCCTGGCTGGTGTGGCTCAGTGGATTGAGCACTGGCCTGTGAACCAAAGGGTTGCCAGTTGGATTCCCAGCCAGGGCACAGGCTTGGGTTGCAGGCCAGGTTCCCAGTAGGGGATATGTGAGAGGCAACCACACATTGATGTGTCTCTCCCCCTCTCTCTCCTTCCTCTAAAAATAAATAAATGATTAAAATCTTTAAAATGTTGGGCCCCAACCTCTGGTGGTTCTGATACAGGTGGTTCTGATACAGGGTTTGCATTTCTCCTAAGTTTCTTACGGAGCTGATGTTGGTTGAGGGACCACTCTGAGAACTGCAGATCTAGAATCAGAGCCTGGGTCATAGGCCCTCTAGCAATAACGGTTCGAACCCGGCTTCAGAGGTTGTCTTGTGTGATGGACTCATAGTCACTAGAGTCTGAATCCCTGTCTTTGCCACCTAGATATGTTGATCTGGTTTGCTCAGAGTCTGTTGAAGCAACTTACAAATGTTTTGATCTTTAAGATTCTTCAGGTGATGATTCAAACATGTGCATTACATTTTATATTTTGCACAAGACATTCACATGTTTTATTGTTGAATCTGCTTAACAATGTGGTTTAAGTACACAGAGCAAATATTTTTCTCTTTTGCAGCAAAGGAAACAGAGGCTGGGAGTAAGTAATTCAAGTGAGAGGGTTCTAGGTTTGCAGACTTTGATCTTTTCTTTATTTTTATTTTATTTTTTAGTCCTCACCCGAGGATATGTTTATTGGTTTTAGAGAGAGAGGAAGGGAGAGATAGGGGGAGAGAGGGAGGGAAAAACAGAGAAACATCGATCAGTTGCCCCCTATACACTCCCTGACCAGGACTGAACCCACATCCTAGGTATGTGCCCTGACTGGGAATTGAACCTTTAGCCTTTTGGTGTATGGGACGATGCTCCAACCAGCTGAGCTATCTGGCCAGGGCTAGGTTGCAGATGTTTTTTTTTTAAGATTTTATTTATTTATTTTTAGAGAGGGAAGGGAGGGAGGAAGAGAGAGAGAGGGAGAAATATCAATATGCGGTTGCTGGGGGCCATGGCCTGCAACCCAAGCATGTGCCCTGACTGGGAATCAAACCTGCGATGCTTTGGTTCACAGCCCACGCTCAATCCACTGAGCTACGCCAGCTGGGGGTTGCAAACCTTTTCACTAACATCTTCCAGTTCTGCATCACATGGGCTGGCTGCAGGCATAACAATATTTCTTCTGCACTCCTTTCAGTAAGAACTACATCTTTGTAACTAAAGAGCTACATCTTCGTAGATATGTATATTTACTAGACATATAAGAATTACCTTTCTTGGCTGATCTTTTGAGAAACATTGCCACATTCTGCCTAGCAGAGACTGGGGTCTGGGTTTTCAACAGTTGCAGGTCAGACCAGCCTGTCCTTTAATTGCTGAATGACTGGATATCCAAAGGTGCCCTCTTTGGGGTGCCCTTGTAGTGTAGGGCTCACTTTGGGTCTTGTTCGATCCCGTCTGCAGCTGGCCAACCTTATTCTGATTCTTCCAAAGCATGATCAAGTTCACGTTTCTTTTAGAGAGTCCTCAGGCCTCTTCTGGCCCCAATGAATGATCCGTTGACTGTAACTCACGAAAGACTATGGAATATGCACACGTTTTTTTTCCCCTTTGGTACATCGCTGCTTGCTTCTGAAATGTTTGTGTAGTCCAACTTTCCTTAATGCATGCGTGGCAGAGAGAGAAAAGTGTTTTGTCTCCGGCTGTTCTCTCTTCTGCAGATATGCAAGAGTTACAAGGGAGAAGGGCGAGGGCCGATTTGTGACAAGCAGCCCCCGTGCGAAAGGCTGCACATCTGCGAACACTTCACCCGAGGGAACTGCAGCTACGCCAACTGCCTCCGGTCTCACAACCTGATGGACAGGAAGGTGCTGGCGGCCATGTGGGAGCACGGGCTGAGCGGGGACGTGGTGCGGAACATCCAGGACATCTGCAACCACAAGCACAACCGGAAGAAGCACGGGCCGCGAGGTGAGCACTGGCCGCATTTGCGTGAACAGGAGAACCCGAAGTGAAGGGAGAGCACGAGCGGGGAGGAGCTGCCTGCAGTCACTCTCCCTCCCCTCGGGGCACTCGCTGCATTTTCCCTTTCAGACCTTGCCCATGTTTCTTCCATAATTTTTACATAATTACAGGGTGGGCAAACGTAGGCTTACAGTTGTTTGGAAAAATAATACAGTAGTTAATAAATGGTAACAAGAATAAACTGTTTCGTGTTCTCACAACTGGAAACCTCCTTTGCCCACCACTGTATAAGCATAGTCTATATGTGATTTTGCAATTTGGCTTTCATGCTAAGCACTATTCCCCCCACCCCAACCAGGTTTTAAAAAAATGTTTAGCATTTTTCTAAAAGCTACTTGATAAAGCTTTTTTCTAATGAAAAAAATTTTTTTAGATTCACCAATTCACCTTCTGTCACAATTATTTTATCACTTTCTCTGTGTATGTCTGAACAGATACTCATACTCACATGCACAACATTTCTGTGTTTAAAGTGTTTGAGGTGTGGAGTCCGCAGGAGACTCCTGCATATGTCAGCATGTGCCTCCGCAAAACGAGGTCATTCTCTTACGTAAATCACAACACAGTTACTGCAGGAAACTTAGCGTTAACATAGGCAGTTCAATTTATTGTCCTCAGCACTTTTCTTTAAAAATTTGTTTGCTTTTATTTTTAAACTGGTAAAATAGAAGAGAGAATCGACAGTTTTAACCATTCTTAAGACACTGCGATGGCATTAAGTACATTTGCATTATCGTGAGAACATCATCATCAGCTGTCTCTCAGACTTCTCCATCTTCCTATATTCAAATCCTTCCTGTCTCTCCCTGACCCCCGCCCCGCCTGCACCCCTGATACCACTGCCCTTCCTGTCTCTATGAATGTGACTACTCTGGGAACCTCATAGAAGTGGACTCATGGGGGATTGGTCTTTTTTTGTGACTGGCTTATTTCACTTGGCATATTGTCTTCAAGGTTCATCCAGTCCTGTGATAGCCTGTCAGAATTACCTGTAATATATACAAAAGGTTTTGTATATATTAAATTAAAAAATTATTTATTGACTTTTTGTTTTGAGAGTGAGAGACAGACAGACATTGATTTGTCGTTCCACTTATTCATTCATTCATTGGTTTCTTCTTGCGTGTGCCCGGACCAGGGAGCAAACCCACAACCTCTGCGGGTCGGGATGATGGTTCCAGCCCACTGAGCTCCCCGGCCAGGACTGACATTTTAAAAATTGGTATAAAAATACACTCAACATATAATTAAGTACATTCAGGTTGTTGTGCAACCACTCTCCAAACGCTTTTCATCTTGCAAAAGCAAAACCCATTAAACAATCATTTTCCACTTCCTTCTGCCCCCAGTTCCTGTTACCACCATGCTGGTTTGCTCCTATGAATTTGACTACTCTGTTTTTGAAAAAGATTTATATATATATATATATATTTATATTTATATTTATATTTATATTTATTTATTTATTTTTAGTCAGAGGGGAAAGGGAGGGAGAAAGAGAGGGAGAGAAATCTCCATGTGTGGTTGCCTCTTGTGCGCCCCCCACTGAGGACCTGACCTACAACCCAGGCATGTGTCCTGATTGGGAATCGAACCAGTGACCCTTTGGCTTGCAGGTTAGCACTCAATCCACTGAACCACACCAGCCAGGGCTTGACTACTCTAGGTAACTCACATGAGTAGAATCACACAGTAGTTGCCTTTTTGCGACTGTCTTATTTCACTTTGCATAATGTCCTCCAACTTAATTTGCTTCATAGCCTGTCAGAATTCCCTTCCTTGTTAAGGCTGAATAATATTCCATTGTGTGTATGCACCGCATTTTGTTTATCCACTCATCCACTGATGGGTACTTGGGGTGCTTCCACCTTTTGGCTATTGTGAATAATGCCGTTTTGAATATGGGTGTACAAATATCTCGTTGAGGCCCTGCTTTCAATTCTTTTGTGTATATACTCAGTGGAATTGCTGGGTCACATGGAAATTCTGGGCTTAATTTTTTTTAGGAACTTCCCTACCATTTTTCGTAGTGGCTGTACTATTTTACGTGGCACCAGCGATGCTCTAGAGTCCTAGTACCTCTACTTGCCAACCCTTGTAATTTTCTGTTTTATTTCATTTTTTGAATAACAGCCGTCGTCATGGGTGTAGAGTGAACAGTACTGTTTCTTTAAGCCCTTGTGTATTGTTTAATGGCATGAACACGTGCAGTTTTTAATGTCTTTATGAGGCGGATGTTGAAGAGATGTATTTTGTGAACTACAGAGAAGACATAGTTCTTAAGATTTTGTAAGAGGTAATAATTAAACCTCCTTATATTTAAGAAATGTTTCATAGTTTACAAGGCAAGGGCGTTCACCTACAGTATGTCCTCATGGTCCCTCACGGCCATATCATGAAGAAAGGATGGGGAAGCCGAGTCTTGGAAATTTTAAGTGCCTTTTATTACAAGCAGCCTTAAATCCTTTTTAGGAGAGTGAGGGGTCGTTCTTTGGATAAATAAACACAGTGTCTTCGAGGCCTCACGGCGCTGGATGGCGGCGGAGCTCTCGGGCTCTCGTTCTGCATCTGATGTTTCCAGCGCCCCCGGGCTTTGTCAGCCCGCGACCATCGGGGGGAATGGGTTTTGGTGGAGTTTCCCAGTATGAATTTTATTCATGTATTTTTTAAAATGTTATTTTGTATTAGTTTCAGGTGCACAGCATGGTAGTCAGACAACCTCATACCTTACGGAGGGATCCCCCCAGGTTTTCCGGTCCCCACCCGGCACCGCCCATGGTTATTACGATGCTGTTGACCGTGTTCCCTCCCAGTGCTGGACTCGACATCCCCGTGACTGTTTCGTGCTGTCCGTCTGTACTCCTCAATCCCTTCACCCGTTTCTTTTCTCCCTCTTTTTAAATTTAATCTTTATTGTATTTTTCTATTACCATTTAGTTCTCTTCTACCCGCTGCACCCAGCAATCACCACAGGGTTGCCTGTGTCTGTGAGTCCTTTTTCCTTTTTGCTCAATCCCTCCACCCCATCACCCCCCCTCCCCCCAAATTAACTGTCATCCTTCACCCTTTTCGCCCAGTTCCTCAGCCCTTCTGGCTCTCTGGCGGCCTTCAGTCTGTTCGCTGGATCTGTGCCGATATGAATTTATTGTGTGTGAGGGAGATCTTTACTATCACTCTAGTGAATCTGCTTAATGAACTGTTTTGTTGACAGGAGGAGGATGTTTGCTTTTACGACGTTTCTGCCGCCCTCTGGGTTTGGCAGAGAAAGGCCCGCCCCCCCCAACACCAACACAACTTGTACTCCCCACACGGACACGCTCGGCACACACGGCACTCACCACACATGCACATCTCACACCAACTCTGTAGCACACGTGCACACCACGTGTGCACACCTCTCACACACTCACAAACTCGTGTGTGTGTCTCATAGTCCCTCCTGGCTCAGGTTTCTAGAGAGGCCAATTCCGTTTGCCGCTGCTCACTTAAGTTTCGGCGTGTGGGTGGTGGGGGCGGGGGCTAGTTGAAGAACTTCGGGAAATTTTCTAGTCGAAGTGAAGTTCGACCTTGACACTGTCATTTCGTTGTTTTTGTTGTAAGTTTTGTGAATTCTTGTTGGCTACACCAATCTTGCAATAGGGGCAAAATGTAGATGATTTTTGGGAAATCCTGCTTCCTTTGCACTGGTCTGTCTCTCCCTTCACCACAGCGGTGGTGGGCAGACCCACCTGAGAGTTTGGGGGGCGTCGGGGGTCCGCCTGAGTCCCAGGAGAGAAGCTGAGGAGAGCCAGCCAGGGCCAGCTGTTCCCTGCTGCGCTAACATAATGGCAGGCTCCCTTCCTGCTCAGGGTTCCCCCACCTCGTGGGTAGCAGGGTGAGTCACTTAACCGCAAGCCTGGAAAAGCCGAGGAGGGCCGGTGGTAAGAACACAGTCCCGGTAACACCCGTTTTCACTTGTTCTTGTCTCTCGCCAGCTCCTCCGGCCCATCGTCGGGACGCCTCTCGCAGGGGCAGAGGCAACGCAGCGGCGCACAGAGGGAGAAGCAAGAGCAGAGATCGATTCTTTCAGGGCAGCCAGGAATTCTTTCCGCAGGTCTCCGCTCCCACGGAGCGGTGCGGCACGCCCAGTCCAGATCGAATCAGCCGCCGGTCTCCCCTGCACAACGGGCTTGTCGAGGACCTCGCCTTCAAGTTCGTGCATTTGGGAAGTCACGATGACTCTCGGCCTTCCTCTGCCTCTTCTGAGGCCGCCAGCCTCGGAGGAGCCGGGCAAGTGGGAGGAAGCCGGAGGTTTTCGGAGAACGGCAGTCTAGAGGACCTCTTATATGGCAACCACAGTGGCGCTTCTGATTTCGCACCAGCTCCCAAGTGGAAGGACCCCCCATTATGGCCGAAGAAGCAAGACGCCAGTGGTGACACTGTCACCACCAGTAAGAGTGCGGGCGTGCATTCCTCGGGTCACATGAATATCGAGGGCAGAAGTGGGAATCAAGACGTCCAGCATTTCCAGCTTTTTGATAATAATTTTGACGGTATGGCCGCAGATACCACTTCCACGGGCTCTTCAAGTTACAGAACCGAGACCCTCAGACAGAGAGAAAAATGGATGTGGTGGACTCAGGAAAGTGGAAACGCTCACCTTGATCTCGACACCCTCGTGCTAGGTGACGGTGAACACAGAGAGAAGGTGTTTTGGGCTGGCAAGCCAGGCCACAGCGCACCGAACGGCGAGCGTAAAGCTGCCTGTGAGACTGCTGGTGCCGCTGGTTTTGGCTTAACGTCGGCCGCCAGGGCGGATAAAGATGGGTTGCACTCCGCCAGTCAGAGTCGGAGAATCCAGATGCTGCTCCCCCCTGTGGCGATCACCGCCCCCACAAAAGCCAGCACTCTGCTCAAGGTACCACCTTTGTCACCATCCTCAAGCAACGGAGCTACAGTCTGTGAGGCCTATGGCCAGAACTCTGCTAACATCTCTGTCACCTCCACCAGTAAGCCCGCAAGGAGGTCCCCAGACTTCGTTCTGAGTAAGTCGCTGAAGGAGAGAGGAGGCCCCATGTCTCGTGTGTGCAGTGGGACAACTGTGGCTGGTGGTTCTCTCTCCGGATGTGCCCTGGCAGTTATTAAAGTGCATTAGGTTTTAGAGGGTTTGGGGTAAGGGGTGGTACTGGAGAGGAGACTGGCGTAGAAGATGGAAAGGCCAAACAGTGCAGGAGTATAGAATAAACTGCTGCCTTTATTGAGGACGGGAATAGTTTGGCCATGGTTTAAGAAATCGACATAACTCTCATATACCCTAATGTTTGTGTTTGCTTTTCTGGAAGGCTTGTCGTAAGTGCCCCATCCGTCAGGTATTTTTCTTGACCATGGCCTGGTTTCAGATACTCTTTCCCACTGTGAGATCAGGTGCCTTGGGTTTTGGTTTAAACATTCAAATCAGCATACGTACATCCTCTTTTGTCTTACAGATACCCTGATTGACATCGGGCGTGACTTGGATCGTTACAGCTCAAAAGAAATTTGTCTTGACCATCTGAATAAGCGCTGTCAACTTAGTGAGTAACTTAAGGTCTTTCTTTTTTTTTTTTAATTAATTAGTTAATTTATTTTTAGAGAGGGAAGGGAGGGAGAAAGAGAGAGAGAGAAACATCAATGTGCGGTTGCTGGGGGTCATGGCCTGCAACCCAGGCATGTACCCTGGCTGGGAATCGAACCTGCGACACTTTGGTTCCCAGCCCTTGCTCAATCCACTGAGCTACGCCAGCCAGGGCCAATTTAAGGTCTTTCTTGACGCAGAAACTATTAATGGTAATAGGGCTAACATTTACTGAGCATTTGCTATAGGTCAGGCACGATGCTAAGAACCTTACACGCAGCTTCAAACTTTACATCAACCTGAGAAGTAGGTTCTGTCATTAACCCATTTTACAGATGTGGAAACTGGAGGCGTGGAGGTATTAAGACCTTACATACACAAGTAGCCAGTTGGGATATTTGACCCTAAACTGTCCAGCCTGCCTGTGTTCTTCACCACTGCATGCTACTATACTTTGTTCTTTAGCAATTAAGTTTTAGCTGAACTATTATACTTAATCAGGGACCCATCTTTCATGTGCTAAAAGCAAGCAAAGCAGCAACAAATTCCAAAAACAGAGGGATCCTAGCAGACACATTTCCATGTTCATTTCCTGTCATTATTTCGGCATCTCCCGGGCCATGTGTACTGAAGAGACTTGTGCTCCACCGGACCAGTGATCCGTTTGTCATTCTAGTTGAAGAGCCACACCTGGTCACTGTCCCCTCCCACCAGTCTCCCTATAGAAATGATTCCCATGGGACGGTGCTTGGGACAAATTTCTGTCTTCTCACTTTTATGTCACTGCCTCACCTTTCTACCTCTGCCCCAGGCTTGGGCATTGTGTCTGATTTCAACTGCCTGATCATTTGCTTGGTGGTTTTAGACGCATTTGCCTGGTGTCTGAAAAGGAAGATTCTGCCCTGGGTTTTTCCTCTCTCTTTTTTCTCTTTCTATTGTTTTTGCTATTGCAGTTGTCACACTTTTTCCCCCCTTTACCCACCTCTACGCAGCACCCACCACTCCCTCTGGCCGTCCGCCCTCCTTTGTTCATGTCCATGGGTCATGCATGTAAGTTCATTGGCTACTCCATTTCCTATACTTGCTCTCACATTCCCCTGTCTATTCTGTACCTACCGGTTTGTATGTCGTAATCCCTTCACATTCCCCCCACTCCCCCAGCCCTCCCTCCCCACCGGCCACCATCCCAATGATCTCCATATCTATGATTCTCTCTCTGTTCTGCTTGTTTGCTTAGTTTGTTCTTTAGATTCAGTTGTCGATAGTTATGTATTTATGCCATTTTAATGTCCGTAGTTTTGATCTTCCTTTTCTTAAATAAGTCTCTTTAACATTTCCTATAATAGTGGCCTGGTGATGAATTCCTTTAGCTTTACGTTGTTTTCGAAGCACTTTATCTGCCCTTTGATTCTAAATGATAGCTTTGCTGGATAGAGTAATCTTGGTTGTAGGTCATTGCATTTCGTCACTTCGAATACTTGTTGTCAATCCCGTCTTGCCTGTAAGGTTTCTTTTGAGAAATCAGCTGACAGTCTTATGGGAACTCTTCCTTATCTCTTGCTGCTTTTAAGATTCTATCTTTATCTTTAACCTTTGGCATTTCAATTATGATGTGTCTTGGTATGGTCCATCTTGTTTGGGATGCTTTGTGCTTCCTGAATTTGTATGTCTGTTTTATTTCCTTCACCAAATTAGGGAAGTTTTCCTTTATTTTTTTTTCCAAATAGGTTTCCAATTCCTTGTTCTTTCTCTTCTCCTTCTGGCACCCCTACGAGGTGAATGTTGGAATGTTTGAAGTTGTCCCAGAGGCTCCTTAAACTATCCTTGATTCTTTGGATTCTTTTTTCTTCTTGCTGCACTGATTGGATGTCTTTCTTCCTTATGTTCCAAATCATTGATTTGATCCTTGGCTTCTTCCACTCTGTTGTTGATGTCCTGTAAATTGTTCTTTATTTCCGTTAGTATATCCTTCACTTCTGCCTGGGTCTTTTTTTATGCTATTGAAGTACCCACTGAGTTCCTTGATCATCCTTATAAACAATGTTTCCTTATAAACAATGTTTTGAACTTTGCATCTGATAGATTGCTTATCTCCATTTCGTTTAGCTCTTTTTCTGGAGTTTGGATCTGTTCTTTCACTTGGGCCGTGTTTCTTTGTCTTCTCATTTTGGCAGCCTCCCTGTGTTTGTTTCTATGTATTAGGTAGAGCTGCTTTGACTCCATGTCTTGGTAGCGTGGCCCTAATGTAGTAGCTGTCCTGTGCGATCCAAAGGCACAGCCTCCCCTATCTCCCAGGCTATGCACTCAAGGAGCTCTCTCCGTGTAGGCTGAGTACACCCTCCTCTTGTAGCTGAGTCTTGATGGCTGTCAGCAGGTCAATGGGATGGATTTACCCAGGCCAGTCAGCTCGCAGGACTGGCTGTGACCCCTGACCAGCAATCACCCTGCCCTGTGGCTTGTGGAGGTGTGTGGGTGGTGCTCCAAAGTGGTCTGTTATTGTCCCCGGGGTGCACAGGCCCTGGGGTTTCCTGGGTGGTGCAGGCCAAGGTCAGCCTCCACCTGTGGTCTGTCTGGGCCCCGTGGCATGAGCTGTAAAGTGATCTGCAGATGGCCGCTGCTGGTGCTGGGCCTGGGCCACTCAACGGGAGGTTTGGAGCTGGGCTCAGCTGCTTTTGTTTGAGTGGATTCAGGAAGGTCTGAAGCCTGCGCCCAGCCCAGCCCTTCATATGGAAAAGCCACTGTTACCTCGGTGGATGGGAGGGTTGCTTGGGTGGGCCTATAAGTTGGATGGGGCACCTCCGCCCCTCCGCCCCTCCATCCCTCCTACCTGTCTGGATGAATGTGGCTTCTTTAATTCCTTAGTTGTCGGACTTATATGCAGTTTGACTTTTCTGACAGTTCTGAGTGATGGTGGTTCTGTATTTCAGTTGTAATTTTGCTGTGGTTGTGTGAGGAGGCGAGCCACTTTTCTCTACACCTCTGTCTTCCCCCAGGTTCTTTGTAGCTAGGAAATTTGTCAATCCTAGGGAGCATGGAGGCTTTTGTTTCATTTTTGTGTTTTATGAGGGGGTGCCGAAGTTCGCTCAGCAGCAGCAGGCCCTGCTCAGGCCACTACCCACAGGGAATCGGCTGTCACACTCCAGTTCGTCGTCAGAACGATGCCCTGTGTTCTCGAAGCCAAAAGCCTGTAGCTCAAAATTTTGTTTTTCTTTTTAATTGTGGTAAAACACAGATAACATAGCTTTTCCCCGACTTACTCGTGGTTAAGTGTACAGTTCAGTAGTGTGAATTGCGTTCGTATTGTTGCGTGACCACTCTCCGGAAGCCCTCATCGTGAACAAACTGAAACTCTGCACCCATTAGACAAGAGCTCCTCATTTCCCCATTTCCTGGCAGCTGTCATTCTAGTTTCTGTGTCTCTGAATATGGCTAGTCTATGTCCCTCATGAGTGGAATCACATAGTATATGTCTTTCTGTGACACTGAAGTATCTCACCTCGCATAATGTTCTCACGGGTCATCCATGTTGTAGCATGGGTCACTGTTTCTCTTTAAGGCTGAATAATATTCTATAGTCTGTAAATATCACATTGTGTTTATCCATCCATTGATGGACACTCAGGGTGCTGCCACCTTTTGGCCATTGTGAGTAATGCTGCTACGAACATGGGTGTGCAAGTATCTGTTGGAGACCTGGTTTTTAATTCTTTTGGATATGTACTCAGAGGTGGGAGTGCTGGGTCGCATGGTCATTCTATGTTTAAGTTTTTTGAGGAGCTGCCATGCCATTTTCCACAGCAGCTACCAGCAGTGCACGAGGGTTCCAGTTTTTCTGCATCCTCAGCAACGCTTTTTTCTTTCTTTTTCTTTTTAATAGCAGCCATTCTGGTATGAAATATAATGAGCGAATGGCTATATACTTTTGAATCAGAAAATCTCAGCCATGGCCACTCTCTGGGTTTCCCTTCGATGTCTACACCTGTGTCTTCTTGTTTTAAAATAGTCACACGCCTTTTGGACATTTCAAAATGTCCAAACGTAGCATAACATTTAAACATAGCATAATGAACATCGTGAGAAATGGAACTATTTTCTGTATGCCTGTCTTACGGCCCTATCACACTAGTTCATTATTCAGCAAGCACTGATTGAATGCCCATCTTTTGCCTGCCCCGCCGGGTGCCAGGCATGCAAGGGAGATACAAGCTAAGCAGTGATGTAAACGGCCCCTCAGTGAGTTTGTAACTACGGTAGAAAACATCAGAAACACCCCCACGTGAGAAAACTGTATAATATAAGTAAACACACAAATAAAAATGCACAAACTGGGTACTGAGTGCTGGCCAAGGGGAGGCGAAATGCAAATCAGATCAGAGGAAGCAGAGACGGGTGAGGGAGTCTTTCTGGGCGAGGCAGGTCGGAGGCCGGGGTTTCAAGGAAGGAGAGGCGGTGGCCGGCATCGGGGAGCATTCTGTCCCCATATGCCCACTCAGGAGGTGCAGGACGGGTACCTGTAAATTTAATAGGACATCAGATTTTCGTGTGAGTAAAGTGACTTTTTGGGGGAGTGGGGAGTCTCTGTTTCCTGATGAGTCTCTGTGGGTAATAAAGGCACCTGGAAACGTGGGTATGGGGCACCTCGGGCGGCAGCTAGCATGAGTGAAGGTGTTCACAGAACGTGGCCTGCATGCACGTCTGGCCGAGTGGGAAAGGCAGGCCTTGATGGGAATGTCAGCAATGAACTTGGTTGAAGTGGTTAGACCCCCCACTCGGCCCACCCTCAGACCTCCTCTTTGTCTTTGCAGAAGACTGCAACAGAGTTCACTTCCACCTGCCCTACCGGTGGCAGATGTCAGTTAAAAACACCTGGATGGACCTCCAGCCCATGGAGCATATCGAGAAGGCCTATTGCGACCCCACAATCAGCATGTAAGTTGTGGCAGGACTGTGGCTTGTGAGATCCACACCATCATGAAAGGAAAGCGTAGTGCTAGGCTTCTGGGAAGAAGAAAAATATTTTCCTTCAGAATCCCGTTCAAGTTGTTGAAGTTTGAGAGAAAAATGGCAAACACCTACTGAGTTAATGAAAAAAAAAAAAAAGGATCAATTGGAAGTCATACAGAGCCTGGATAATACATGGGATTCTTAGAATATTTGCTGATGCATGCAAAGTACACAGTGACACGATGATTGGTTTAGTTAATATTTGTGTTTATCTGCACGACATAATGACAAGTATGCAGAGGTCGGTTTATGTTCCTGTCAGCTCATGATATGACTGTTAAGGGTACAAAAGGACTACCTCAGAAGAGCCTTAGGCTTGACGCCATCGTTTTAGAGCATGATTTGAACAATTTCATACAGTTCTAGTGCAGAGTTTTGTTAGATACTTGAGGGTTTTGTGATTCCCTTTATGTTTGCCGTTTTCTCTCTTGTAGAAGCATCTAGAGGCTGCCTGGTATTTCCATTCTGTCAGGGCCGAAATGGGCGGTACCTCATATGACTGTAGCTATACGACATTTCCTAGTTTAATAAGGGAAATTACATGTGTTTCATCATCTACAAGTTCAGTGAATTTTTTTTTAAATTTTATTTATTTATGTTTGGAGAGGGAAGGGAGGGAGATAGAGAGAGAAACATCAATGTGCGGTTGCTGGGGGTTATGGCCTGCAACCCAGGAGTGTACCCTGGCTGGGAATCGAACCTGCAACACTTTGGTTCGCAAGCCCGAGCTCAATCCACTGAGCTACGCCAGCCAGGGCTAAGTTCAGTGAATTTTTGGCGGAGATTCTGTTGCTGCATTTTGCCACTAGAGGGTGGCATTGGCTATTTTCTTATTTGTAGTGATTCCCCCGCCCCCCCCCCCAGGTAAATCTGAAGCAGGCTTCTTAACCTCAGCACTATATACTTGGGGGGAGATAATTATTTGATTTTTGGGGGGGGGTGGTTTAGCAGCACTCCTGGCCTTTACTTACCAGATGTCAGTTGCGATAACCAAAATGTGTTTAGACATCACCAGTGTCCCCAGGGGACAAAAATCGTTTCTGGTTGAGAACCACTGATCATGGAGTGCTTCGTGGAGCCATAATTCTCAAACTTTTTGGTCTCAGGGTACCTTTACAGTCTGAAAATGTACTGAGGATCCCAAGGAGCTTCTGTTTATGTGGATTATAACGATCTATTTATCTTAATACAAATTAAAACTGAGAAACATGAAGTAACGATTCATTTAAAAATACACTCATTCGATGTTAATATAACATTTTGTATAACTATATTTGTATAATTACAGAGTTATATGTATATAGGTGTACCTGTGGATATGTATAACTAAAAAATAACTTTTCCAAAACAAAACAAAACAAAAAATTCATTGAGAAGAATGACATTGTTTTATATTTTATATTTAATTTATATTTATATAAATATAATTAATAGTACAAACATAGAAATAGAAATATATTTAAATTATAAAGATATTTATGTTGCATTATAAATACATATTTCTATTTCTTTTATATTTTATATTTAATTTACATTTATACTTTTGGAAATCTGTTGTACAATCCCACATGATGTCACGTCTGGGAAACACTACTGTGCTCCCGCAAGAGTGTGCCAGTGGAAAAGGCAAATAATGTCTTAACTTCACGAAAATAACTTGGACCTTGTTGGCTCCCCGAAAAGGTCTTTCAATAACTAGTTAAATTATTGCAATAGAACAAACTCACCTACGGTGAGTTTCTAACTCACTTTCTAACTCTGAGCCCGCTCTTTTGTGGGCACAGTTTTATTTGGGATAGTCTTTGAGGAATACATTTTGTGATACCAGTAAATATGTGCGGTAGGCAAGTGACATGACCTCTGGGTATTTCAGTTTTTTCTTTCTTTTTTTTTAAATGATCTTTTAAAAGATTTTTATTTATTTATTTTTAGAGATGGAAGGGAGGGAGAAAGAGAGAGAGAGAGAAACATCAATGTGCAGTTGCTGGGGGTCATGGCCTGCAACCCAGGCATGTACCCTGACTGGGAATCGAACCTGTGATGCTTTGGTTCGCAGCCCGCGCTCAATCCACTGAGCTACGCCAGCCAGGCCTTGAGTTTTTTTTTTTTTTTTTTATGTGTCAGACTGGCAGCTATAGCAAGGAAGTCTGAAGATCTCTTGTAGCCCTAAAATTTTAATTCCGTGCTTCTGTTAGGGAATCCCAGACTGTAGAACACAGAGGTCAGTGAAGCATTTTGGTTAACTTTACACTTTTCCCCCTCAGCACTTCTGTTGGAAGTTTACAACTGGATTTCCAGAAAATGACTTGTGACCAGAACCCCATCCGACGGATCTCCACGCCGTCGTCTGTCAAGGAGCCGAACGTCTTCGCCACAAAATGGATTTGGTATTGGAGGAGCGGCTTCAACAGATGGGTTCAGTATGGGGAGAAGGTGCGTTCCATTCCTCGGGTGTCCTTGCCGAAATGTCTGACGTCTCCCTGGTTACCCGTGGAGAGTGGGCATGGTCGAAGAAGTGGGGCTCTTTTTACATTATACACAGTGGTGTTTACATTGTTCTTGCAAGCATGTACTCCGATTGCAACCATAAACAAAAACATATTATTACTATCTATAATTTTTAAAAATTGATTTTAGAGAGAGAGAAACATCGATTTGCGGTTCCACTTAGTTATGCATTCATTGGTTGATTCTTGTATGTGCCCTGACTGGGGATTGAACCGGCAACCTTGGCGTATTTGGGTTGATGTTCTAACCAACTGAACTATCTGGCCAGGGCTATTAATTATTTGTAAGGAATCGCTTGAGATGTGAGTCAGCTGCTTGTCCCTCATTTCTCACTATCCATGACTGGGGTAGAACCTTGAGATAGCTTTCTGTGTGTTAGTACATAAACGCAGAGATTACTGCATCCACCTAGAAAAGAGGCAAGACTGAAGAATCAGAAAACTGATACAGATGGCGACTAGGATTCAGAGTCAGGGACTAGGATTTAGAGGGACTTGAAAGACTGGACCTGGGACATTTTGCGATAGACGTGTTTGGATAAGCAGAACTTCTGTCTTGTGGTCCTTCCTCTTACTGATGCATAGGAATGAAAAGAGAGAAAAAGGACTCACACTTAAAGCAGCCAGTGAAAGCCAGTGAGAGATGGGAAAGAGACTAAAGTAAAAAGCAAGAGGTTAAAGTAAAGCCGAGGACAAAGCTGGGACTGGGGAACGCCGCCATAAGGTTCGAGGTGGTTAGAAGTCTGGGGGCCGCGGATCTCACTCTGCATCTTGCTCTGAGCTGCCCGGCTGCCCAGGCAAGCAAAGAAACACAAGCTGTTACAAGATCCCCTGTGTCTTTTTGGGAAGAACACACCAGTCCCTCCTCAGGAGAAGCGCCACTTTTTTCTGTTAATGGGGCCTAAGAAAAACATCTGCTATGGGGCCACGTAGAGGGGACCACGTACACTGTGGCGAGTGAGGTTCCCAACAAGAGTCCTCCTGTCACTCCCGTAGCTCAGCGGTTTCCCAGCTGTCCTATCAGGCCGTCTTCCCCAGTGCCTCCGGGAGGACACTGGAGTCACAGAGGTGCCCGTGGAAGCGGGATACAGGTTCAGAGTCTGGTGTCTGGTGTCTAGTCCGCTTCCTCTTTGCTCTCCTCTCTGCTGCGGTGCCCTCTGGAGCATCCAGGTGTGAAAATTCCCATGATGTTGACCTTTGTGGAGGTTCTTTTTTCCTTCTATTTTTTTTAATTCTCACCTGAGGATATGTTCTGGGTTTTTTTTATTATTATTAGAGAGAGGGAGAGAGACAGAAAGAGAGAAATGAAAGAAACATGATCGGTTGCCTCCTACATGTGCCCTGACCAGGGACTGAACCCTCAACCTTTTGGTGTTCACTCCAGCTAGCTGAGCCACCTGGCCAGGGCTGTACAGACTCCTTTTATGTTCAAGCTAAGGATGATACCAAAGTGCAGTTTCTTTTTTATTTTTAAGATTTTATGTATTTATTTTTATTATTTATTTAAAAGATTTTATTTATTTATTTTTAGAGAGGGGAAGGGAGAGAGAAAGAGGGAGAGAAACATCAATGTGTGCTTGGCTTTCAAGCGCCCCCTACTGGGGACCCAGGCATGTGCCCTGACTGGGCATCAAACTGGCGACCCTTTGACTCGCAGGCCAGTGGTCAATCCACTGAGCTACACCAGCCAGGACTCAAAGTGCAGTTTCTTAAAAGTGATTCTGTGAGGTGCATGGAGAAATAGAAATTGTAAAGTCAAGTTAATTAGCTTTGGTTAAAATAAAGATAAACTATAGGTCTTGGTGGTTCTTGTGTCAAATATTAGAAATTTTCAGGTAGGTGAGGGAAAGAGGTTGGAAAATATTTGCGTTCTAGTGACAGCAGGGTCCCAGGGACTAAAGCGAACTCTCCATGGGGAATGGATGGGATTTAAACTTACACAAGTTCTGTCGCTCATGTTCCCTGATGAAACTCAAGAAACTTCCTGACAGAACTTCTTTAATCCAGACTTCTCCCTGAGACATTCACCAGTCTGTGTTCAATGCAGACTTTTAGAGTGTAACTTAAAACCTGCAGACACGAAGTGTTGTATCCATTTAATCTATGGCACTTGTCTGCTATAGGAAATGCTTTTGAAGATGTGGATAAATTCATACTGTCCCATACTAATTAGAACCATCATTATATAAATTAAGTTGGCTCTTTTGTTATTTAAAAAAAAAAATAGAAGGAAAAACAGGCCCTGGATTTGGTGTTTTCCCGGTTAGCGGTCCAGTGAAAGTAGTAACAGTGGTTCCGGCAGATTCGAACGCACACATTGTGGGCAGCCTGGCTTCTCTCCCGGGCTGGTGCGTTACAGTCCCAGTTCACAGCTCTTTGACGGCCTGGTTCCCTCTGGTGCACAGGTTAGAATGTGTTTTCTTCAGACGGGGCTCTACAGGTTTTATTTCTTGCAACTGAATATTTAGGAAGAGCTGGGCAGCCGAGATTTCCAGGTTAGCTGCCCCCTCCCTACTAGGCAGTGGGAGCATAGAAACTTTTGCAAAGGAAGGGTAGGAGGTGCTTATGCTTTGACAGTGAACTCTCTGGAAGATAGACAGACTTAGTGTCCTTCTATATAAATTCAGGTGCTTAACCAGGACTCGTACTGACGAGGATGGTAGACAGAGAGAGGCCGACGTGATGGGAGAAGTGAGGATTGAATAGGCAGGCGTCTGGGCAGCGATGGTGGGAGACAGAATGACAGCAGGAGTGACAGGAGGGCAGAGCCTGGTCGCCATGGGCCTTGCACCAGGTGGGGGGTGGGGATCCAGACCCTCTGAGACGTTCACCAGCAGGTCGCTAAGCTCATTAGCTGTGCAAGCTGGCGGTGAGGGACCTGGGGCAGGTGACCGTGGCTGAGAGAATTGCTCAAGGCAAGGGGAGGCCGTAGCTCTAGAAAGCCAAGATCAAGACAACGATGTAGACAAAGGGCTAGAGCCAAGACCTGGGCGCTGAAACAGATGTACATTTAGGTCTTCTGGGAGAAGAAATCATTGAAGTCTCGTTCATTCACTCATTCATTCTTTCATTCATTCAGAACTGGAGTAGTGTGATGGCCGGGCCAGAGGAAGATCCAAGTGAACCGTGCTAGGCTGTCCAGATGCTCAGCCCTGGCTTCATGTTCTTGTTCTGCCCAATGTGACAACCGCAGCCACTTGTGGCTGTGTTCTTTTAAACTTAAGTTAATTAAATATAAATAAAATGAAAATTCAGTTCCATGTCACACTATTGACACTTTACGTGCTCTGTTGCCAAGCTGTAGCTAGTGGCCACCATAGAGGACCATGCAGACAACATTTCCTCCATCGTAGAAAGTTCTCGCGAATAGCACTGATCTGGGTTGTGGAGCCTGGATAGTCAAAGGCCCACAGACCAGCAACATCAGCATCACCTCGAAGCCACTCGGAACACAGAATTTAAAACCCTCTCCTTACTTCCCCTGAATCGTGGTCTGCGTTGTATCAAGACCCCTGGGTGATGCAGACGTACATCGAAGGCTGAAAGGCTCTGGCCTAAAGCTTTGGCGGTGCCTCCCCACCAGAAACGGGGCACTGTGGAGCCGGGCAGGCAGTTGAGGGGTGGAGGGCTTAAGCTGTGAGGCGGGCAGTTAGGGCAGAGATTTGAGTCGTCCAGCCAGGGTGCGCAGAGGTGACAGAGCTGCCTCTGCACCCCGTGCTGGCCGGTGTTTGCCCACTTGCATGGGGCTCTTTGGGGTCCGAGGAAGGCCTGTGGTTTACCAGCGCCACTGTCCTAACTGGTAGCGTCCCAGTGCTTTCGTAATCAGTGTCTTCACGGTGTGATGCTGTGGTTTCGTTCTGCTGAAGTTAGCCTCCTTGCCACTTCCGCCTGTTTGTCCAGGTTCCACCTGCTGAAACATGTTCAAGTTTATCTCCACTTTGCCCTCTGTGTACTAGCGATTCGAACCCAGCTTTTCTGCCCCCACTGTATTCTTCTCCAGGCTCAAGCGAGAGAGTTCAGGCCCCTCTCCATCCAGGACATTTTCCTCGGGTGCTTTCATCCCAGCGCCCCTCCCCTAACATCCTGTAGACATTTCCTTAGACATTTCCATTTCCTGAAACCTGCAGACTCCAAAACGTCATTGAAGGGGCTGGGAGCCCCTCCCCACCACAGGCTGCCAGCAGGATTTTGCTGTCGTTAGCGCCTCCATGCTAGATCCTGAGGAACAAGTATTTCTTCATCATTAAACAGGGAAGTTGCCCTGGCTGGTGTGGCTTAGTGGATTGAGTGCCAGCCTGAAAACCAAAAAGGTCACAGGTTTGATTCCCAGTCAGGGCACGTGCCTGGGTTGTAGGCCAGGTCCCCATTAGGGGGCTCGCAAGGGGCAACCACACAGTGATGTTTCTCTCCCTCTTTTTCTCCCTTCCTTCCCACCTAAAAATAAATAAAACATATTTTTAAAAAAAGATAAAATGGTAGAGATCTCTTAAAAGCCGACCACGAAGCCTTTACTAGGGAGGTGATCAGCAAGTTTCGAACGTCGACTCTTCATACCTGGAATCGTTGTTCCTGTGCTCTCCGAGGAGCATTGTGCCATTTCAGGCAGGCTCCCAGAACTACGAGCTGAGTTTCCAAGGTAAGACTCTGCGTTTGGCAGGGGTGCCTGCTGGTCACCGGAATCCGGCCCGAGGTGGCCTGGCAGGACGGGACATGCATGCTTACCCCCGAATCAGGGTTCTTGTGAGCAAAAGCAGCAGTGTGGGGCGTGGGAGCCAGTGGCCGTCAGAGGCCCATGCTCTAGAGCCGTGGCTCTGACACTCAGTAACCGTGTCATGTGGGGAGTGGCACTGGGCCTCCGTTTCCTCATCTGTAAGATGAGGGCATTGGGCTAAGTGGTCTCTGCCTCACCATTCGAAGGTTCGGTTTCTGAGCATGCTGCTCCCCAGGCCGAGGCAGAGTTTTCAGTAGAGACCCCGGGCCTGCGGGTCCCTTCAGGGTGTGAGAACCTTTCTGACCCTTCCAGGCGTTGTGGTCGAGCTCTGTGGTGTGTCTCATCCACCACGTTTTCTAAACACACTGCCCTCTGCTGTGTTGGTCGGACCCCCCATGTAGAGGTCTTCTGGTCAGCCTCTGCCAGTCTGTCTGTCGTGCTGTGTGAGAAATCTGGGAAGCAGCTGCCCTCCCTGGGAACGTGCTTGCTGTCCCATAGGCGGCACCCCTGGGATACTCCCTGCAGACGGGTGCATGCCTGCTCTTTCAGGACCGGCCCTGCAGGAGCTTGGAAAGAGGTGAAGGAGACTTGCTCAAGTGCTTGAAATAATACCTCCTGCAACTGAGGCCCTGTGCCAATTACTATAGTGTAGCATACTGACTTTTCTGGAAAGCAGCCTGGCAGGACACGTGAAAAGATATTAATTAAAATCTGCTTGTTTTTTCATCCTCTCAGGAACCCTCCTTTCTTACTTTTTTTTTTTTTTTTTTTGCTATGAAGCAGTTTCACAAATTTCTGGGTTGCCCTTGCCATGCTCATCTTGTCTGTATCGTTCCGATGTTAGTCTACGTGCTGCTGAAGTGAGCACTCAGGGATCTTTCTAAGGCAACAGTTCCGCAGAAGGAAAAGGAAAAGCTACAGGCACGCAGACCTTCATGGAAGCCTTGTCTGACGTACTAAGTCAGAGGGACAGCCTGCGTCCCAGGACTGTCCTGCCAAAGCAGATTGGGTTATTAACTTTCAGTGGAGTGTTGGGTAGTTGTTAAAATTCTGCTTATGGAAACTATGTAGTAAAAGCTATGTAGCAATATCTAAATTGGATATTGTTAAACGGAAAAGGCAGGACCCCCAACTTCTGTTCCTGCATGTTTCTATTTGTGTGTTGTGGTATTTAAAGGAGAAAAGATTTTTAAAGATATTTAATGTGCCCTGGCTGGCGTAGCTCAGTGGATTGAGCACGGGCTGGGAACCAAAGTGTCCCAGGTTCGATTCCCAGCCAGGGTACATTCCTGGGTTGCAGGCCATGACCCCCAGCAACCGCACATTGATGTTTCTCTCTCTCTCTCCCTCCCTCCCTTCCCTCTCTAAAAATAAATAAATAAAATCTTAAAAAAAAATATTTAATGTGTGTGTGAAATGCAGCAGCTTGTGCATGTGGACCAAGACTAGAAGGCAGTAGACAAAAATAAAAATCTCTCGGATGGTGAAATGAAAAATGGCTTCAATTAAGCATTTTTATTTATTTATTTATTTGCTTGTTTGTTTGTTTATTTATTTTTAGAGAGAGGGGAAGGAGAGGGAGAGAGACATCAGTTGGTTGCCTCTTGCACGCACGTCCCCAACCAGGGACCTGACCCGCAACCCAGGCTTATGCCCTGACTGGGAATCAAACCGGTGACCTTTTTTGGTTCACACAGGCCACTGCTCAATCCACTGAGCCGCACCAGCCAGGGCTAAACATTGTTTTTCCTTTGCTGGTAGTCTGTCATTTTGACAATGTGGAAGGGTGGCGGAGAGGCGAAAACCAATGTTCCGTGTTCCTGAGTCGGGAGCACTTTAGCCAGTAATTTTGTTCTCTTGCTTTAGAGAAAGCAGTTCAGAGCAGTGTGCAGGGTTTTACTCTTTTGTCCCCCCTTTATATTCTCTAATTCATTGAACTAGTATTGGAGCATCCGCTGTGTGCCAGGCACTATCCTAGATGCGGGCAAACAGATAGTGCTCACTGCTGTGGAGAGAAGCAGCAATGTCGTGAAGCAGAAAGAGAACGAAGGAGCCTTGAGAGAGCGCCTACTCTTAGGGGGGCAGGAAATTCTGGAAGGGCGGGCCCCCCTCCAGGAGAGGGAAGACCAGCCCTTAAGCTGTAAATTGCAGACAACCCTAAGGTTTCAGAGAACAGCAAGAGGGTCCACAAGAGATGAGAGCAGGCGCAGAAACTTGGAAAATCAGGAGAAGGTTGCGACGTGGTCAGATTTGCTCTTGCTGTTGTTGTGTGTGCTTGTTTTCATTTTACATCCGTTACACTGAGTCGTGATTGCTACCATGAAATGCGTACCTGAGATTTAAGTGTGCCGCTGGATGAATGTTGCAACTGCCACAGACGTATGCCGCTTCTATCCTAATCACGGTAGGACCTGTCCCAGCAATCTGTTTCCTCGTGCTCTTTTGCTGTGAGTCTTCTCCCCCCACCAGCTGATTTGCTTTCTGTCACTACAGATTTGTTTGATCTCTTCTAGAACTTCATACAAATGGACTCTTCTAGTGTGTGCTGTGCATACAGCTGGCTTCTTTCACTCAGTATAATGTTTTCTTTTTTCTGATTCAGCTATGTTGCTGCATGTATCATAGTCCCTCCCTTTTCATTGCTGAGTAATATTCCATTGTTAGGATATAACATGGTTTATTTATCCACTCACCTCTTGATGTGTATTTTGGGTTGCTCCTAGGAACTGCAGGTCTTCGTGTGGATAGAGGTTGTCAGTTCTCTTGGGTAGATACCCAGGGTGAGGTTGCTGGGTCCCACTGGCGGTGTATGTTCACAGGACGCTGCCTGGCTGCTTTCCAAAGTGGTCACTAGCAATATACAAGGATTTCCTTTTCCAAGCAATCGCTCTGGCTATAGCTTGGGCCTAGGCATACCGCATGCATGAATTGAAAATGACATTTCACACCGGACGTAGAAAGAAATCTTCAAGACATATAATTATGTCATATAATGATATATCCTATACTCATGAATGCCTGGTTCAGGGCAGCTTCTATGGATGATGCCTTGTTAGCCTAGCTCTCTTCTTTTCCATCTGACTTGGACTTAAAGATTCGATTCACTGCTAAATGCTCAATTACTTCTCTGTTTCCTGGGTCTTGTAAAAGGGGGCAGTGAGGAATCCAAGTTCTCGTCATGAGGAATTTTCATCCAAAGGGCTTTTCTCTGCTCATACCTCTGCAGGTCTGCCATGGGTAATTGTTGTGTTACTAGCCTCTGAAAAGTAACAGTAAGTCATTTTCCAGGGCTAATCCTTTCTTCTTGTTTGTTTCCCCTTTTCTGTCTGAAGGGATGATTCAGACGAACATAGCTTCCAAGACCCAAAAGGACGTCCTCCGGAGGCCGGCCTTCATGACGCCCCGGGACGTGCAGCAGAGGAGAGCGGGGCCAGAGTAAGTGTTCTGAGGCTCTGCATGCTGGCAGGTCTGAGAGGGCGGTGCGCCCACCTCACCCAGCCACTCCTGCATCCGGAGCCCCGTTCTCGGAACGTTCCTGCTCGCGCTGCACGGCGCGTTCCTTTCGCCTTGCCTCGGAGTGGGGTGCTTGTCGAGCAGCATGGTGTGAGGGAAAGAACACTTGAGCAGAAAATCTGTCTTTTCCTCTGACTCATGGGGGACTTCAGGCAAGTCTCAGCTACTCTGGGGCTCAGCTTTTATTAGCTGTGAATGGCAGATTAATGGGGTGTGTCTAGGCCACGATCAGATGCGCTGGGTTTTGTTTTGCTGTGGGTTCTTGTGTGTATCCTTGGTTTTGCTGAGGGAATTTATAGAGGGTTGGGAGGCCGAGGAGGAAACGGAAGGGAAAAAAGAGTTGAGGTAGCCTCTTGAGCAGGGGGATTTGGGGAAAGATAAAGTTGACCCAGGGGACTTTTAGAGGGAATTGTGCTGTGGGGGATTCATTGTAACTCTCCTTTGTGTGCTTGTGAAACTCAGTAAAATCTATGTTATTCATGAACATTTTTGGAGTTGGATTTTTTTTTCCTGGGTGATGTGTGCTGATATAAAACAGATTTTAAGGCAGGTGCCAAATCAAGGTGTTTTAATTAGGTCCTTTTGGTTGTAGGAATTAAGGTATTTCACGAGAGAGGGAATCGCTAAAAGGATAAATGTGGCGTCATGAGGAAGACATTTCACAAGAATCCAAGGATGGGAAGAACTGAGCTGTGTCAGGGCCGCAGGAGTGGGAGTCCATCCAATTCTGCTCTAGAACCTGAGGGTTCTAGTTCCAGTTCTTCTCTAGAACCTGGGGGTGGGGGGTTGCAGGTCCTTGCCTCCAGCATGTGCTCCAACTGGGAAGAGAACCTGCAACCCAGGCATGTGCCCTGAGTGGGAATCGAACTGGCAACCCTTTGGTTCTCAGGCCAGCACTCAATCCACTGAACCACACCAGCCGGGGCTGACTTTTTAGTAAGTCTTATATTCCCCTTCAGTCTGGACTAGGGAGACCACACACTGTTCTTTGTCTGGATAGCAGAAACTGTCCAGACTGAGTTCGTTCTTGACTTCCAGCTGGGCGGTTCTTTCTGTGTACATACATTTCCGAGGGAAGGAATTGGTCTGTGGCATTTCCAGATATTTCATGAAGCCAGCCCATTGTCTGTCTCAGTAGTTTACATGCCACACTTGCCACATGCTTTTCCATTTGCTCTTCCCCTTCTCTGGGAACATCCGCCCCATCGGTCATGTGAATCCAGCATCTTTCGTGGCCCAGCTTGAATGCCACTTTTCCCATGCAAACCTTACTTGGCACTGTCCTCCAACGCCCTCCTTCATCCTCTAGGACCACTTAGTACGTCTCTTATAGTACTTATCCAGTCTGCCTTACAATGTAGTTATTTGTGTAACCATCTTCCCCAGCGGAACTCACCCTTCCTCTTCCTTCCCCTCCACCATCTTCAGCTCCTCAATGCCCTTGAACTGCTTTGCACAATGAATGGTATATAGTGATGCTATGTGGACAGCTGTGCGAGCGAATGAAGACGAGTTGCACAAACCCTGTTAGTGGGGGTCACGTAGAGAACCAGAGTTACTCCTGTCACCAGCCCGGAGGGGACACGTTTCCTTTAGGATGAGATAGGGCTGTGAGTGTCATCCCGAAGAGTCCAAAGAGAAGTGACCCATCTCGAGCACACTTCGTTGTCGATGGCACTTCAACGCAGTTTGCTCCCTCTGCACTGTGCAGACTCAGTGTGGGAATCCTGAGTTTAAAGCACAGATACGTGGGGGCTCATCTCTCAATCCAAAGGAATCTTCATTTTACAAAGGGAGATCAGTAAAGAGTGTTTTTTCCCCTGAAAGCATTTTTTAATTTAGTGATTTTATTATGGAAAATTTCAAAGTGAAAGCAGAGAGTAACTGTATAATAAATCCCTGTGTGTTACTGGGGGAACTCTCTGGAGAAGCCCAGCCTCAGTGGGTGGAGATACTTGACCATTCTTGTTTTGTCTGTCGCCACCCTCGTCTTGAAGTTTCTTCTTTTGCTTCAGTGTTTTCATGTGTAAATTTCACACATATCATTTCACTGCAAATACTTCAGGTGTGTCTAACAGTTTTAAAAAATAATATAATACCATTAACCCACCTACAAAATTAAGAATGATTCCTTAATATCTATCTAATATTCAGTTCATGTTCTATTTTTTCCCATTGTCTCAAAAATGACTTTTAATAGTTGATTTATTCTAATTTGTATCAAAATAGGGTATGAATATTCATTTGCTAGATTTGTCTCTTAAGTTTCTTTTAATTTATTACAGTTTCACCTCCTCCACTTTTTTTTTTTAAGAAATGCGGTGATTTGTCCTATAGAATCTCCCAAATTCAAAATATAGTAAATTGTATCCTCATGGGGTTATTTGAATGTAATTTCTGTGAATTGATGGTTAGATTAGAGGACTGATTAGATTCGGGTTCCCTTTTTGATCAAAAGTAATATACTGGGTCCAGCACAAATAACACCTCCTTTTTTTATCACATAAATATCTTTTATTACAAAAATCAGAAGCATGTAATTCTGTAACATAACAGTATCACACCCAAGCACACCACATCACTGCAGGTGAAACATTCAAATTGCTGTCCATCTCGTGGGAGACAATCACGTACCCTACCGACCACACTCACGCAGGTGCTACTTCTGCCGGACCCAGTATACGGTGTTTTCGACTTCCTGTCACATGTTATGGCGAGAGGTCCCTGAAGATGGGAGTGTGGGTTCAAGCCATTCCAGTCTGATTCCTCCATTATCACGGTCTCCCTGTGGACTTCTATGTAATGGTTTTAATAGCTCTTGCTGGTCATTATTTAGATCCGTTATTTCACGAGAGGTAACACAAGGGTGGTTTTCTGATTCTGTCCGTTCTGCAATTCATCACTGTGATTTGTCTATAAAGAAGAGTTATGGTTACCTTGAAATAAAAGTGTAGGCAGCAGGCATTTTGCCTCTGTACCTTTAATGTAGTTAAATGTTTATTGTTTGACAAAGAAGCCAAAGGTCACACTTACTTAGTGCTAACATGTTAGGACTTCTGAAGGTTGAACAGAACTATAAAAAAGAATCAATGCCTTTCTATTTTAAATGAGTGGGAAAATAACATTTAGTTAATTCACCAAAGTTTGAATAATTTCTGCATTTTCAGAAAGCATGATTTGCCCTGGCTCAGTCGGTTGGAGCATCATCCTGTGCACTGAAAGTTGGCAGGTTCGATTCCTGGTCAGGGCACATATCGAGGTTGCGGGTTCAGTCCCTGGTCAGGACGTGTACGAGAGGCAAGAGATGGATGTTTCTCTCTCACATTGATGTCTCTCTCCCTCCGTCCCTCACACTCTCCCTTCCTCTCTCCTTAAAAGCAATCAACATATCCTTGGGTGAGGATGAAAAACATAAATAAAAAAAATCAATAAAAAGCACGATCACTGGTATATCTACAGGAGAAATAGGAGAGGGAGCCCTGGCTGGTGTTGCTCAGTGGATTGAGTGCCAGCCTGCGAACCAAAATGTCACAGGTTCGATCCACATGCCTGGGTTGTGGGCTAGGGTCCCCAATTGGGGGCATGCGGGAGGCAACCAATTGATGTATCTCTCGCACATCGGTGTTTCTTCTCCATCTCTTTCTCCCTCCACTCTCTTTTAAATTAAATAAATAAATAAATAAATAAAATAAAATATGCAGGGATATAGTCCAAAGAAAAACACAAAGAAAAAATCATCTGAGAAAGCTTTACTTAGAAGCAGGTGGTGAAGGACAGGAAGTACTTGGGCATCTGGGATGGGGCAAGTGTGTTCTAACTCTCTCTCATTTGTAGCCATCAGCCGGCGCAGACCCAGCCAGAGACGTTACCCTCGACATTTCCTTCTCCGTGGAAGTCCTCCTTCGCCTCGTCGAATGGATACGAGGTACTGGATTTTACCTTTCGGTGGGTGAGTTGTTGGAAGGTGGGGAAAAGCACTTTGTTACAAACAGGCATTGGTTTGCATGAAAGAACAAGTTGCTTCATCTGTAAAACTCTGGGATCAGGATGGAAAGGCAGGCAGCTAAATGGTGATTGTGTCGCTCTCCTGGGGAGCCTCGTTGTTTCCGGGGTCCCGCCACCCGGGTTCTCCGTGGGGCAGACCCTCATGAAAACTCCGTGCGATGGATACTAGCAGCTTTCCTTGTGGGCGAGAAGACCGGAAGTCAGAGAGTAAAACTGACTTGTCCATTTGTTGGCATCAACAAGCTGGTTTCAAGGGGAGTCACACACACTGTGCCTCGCCTGGTCACCTAGCCTGGTTGGGACAAGACTTCCTACGTGGATTAGCCTCCACGTGATGCTTCAGCTTGGGGTCCAGGCTGCTTTGCTTGGCTGCAGGGGCACCTTCAATGTTTCTGCCCTACACTGGCTTCAGGCAAGGGACTTGCTGGTCACTGCGCTAAATCAGACAACTTGGGGCATAATGCTTCATTAGCCATGGCAGCCTGAGCAGACGGGCCTGGTGTCACCTGGCTCGTTTCTGAAGTCAGCCACCAAAGCCGGCGTACCTGCTATCATCGGCAGGGGCATCGGGGCCACACGTGTGGGAGTAGCATGCCTTCAACGTTTCCCATTCCACGTTTTTGTATCTAAATTTTCTTTTTAGTTATTAGAGATCAGTAACCATTCCATGGAATATACCCAAATAAGTGAGTATTTTAAAGCGACGATGAAAACGGTCAAGATTGAAAAGATCAGGAAGCTCATGAACGAACAGCTCCTGACTGCTTTTAAAAGGTAGGTGGCCGTGTTTCTGCAGACGGTTTAAAAGGATTCGCTAAGGTCTGCCCTTTCAGGTTCATGTTCACTGGTTTCTTCTGGCGGTCAGCCGTTTCTTCCGTCCCTGGTTTCCACTGCGGAAACGCGGGCCTCTCTCTTTCGGCTTTGGTTCTACGATTCGGTGATGTCCCATGTCTGTCATTTAAAAGCTCTCATCAATGTACATATACTTTTATAGCTCTTGTCTTAAAGTAAGTAGCTCCATTCTGAATGCCGGTGAAGTGAATGGTTAGGACAGTGAGACCAGAGTTATCATTAATGTTATGAACCGGAGCGGGAGAGGAATGTTCTCGGTGCTAAGTTTCACATTTCCTCTATTAGGAAAAAAGAGAAGATGAAGAATAACAATGAAAAAATCCTATTTTGTGTCACGAGCCGTGCCAATATGGATTCTGTGTGTGCGAATAATTTTGACTGGACCACGCACCGGACTTCTGATGCCAGATACGGAAAAGGTTTGTACTGGGACCGAGAAGCCTGGCTTGTGTAGGCCTTACCTCAGGCTCTGCGTCTGCCTGTCTCAGGAGGTGTATGTGGTTATTTTGTACTAACTGGGATGTCCAGGCGTCGCCGTGATGGAGAGAAAACAAGCTCACCTTAGCACCAAGTGCCCAAATGAGAGTGGTGAATTGTCTTACGACTTGAGTGCTGCCCCTTAGTCCTGCTCCTGCCTTCCCTGTTTGGTGGAGAAAACTTCCCTTTTTCGTGAAATACCTTAATTCTCTGAGACTCTCTGATCTCATACGTGCTTGGCAGGTTTACGCCACCTGTTGGCTACCTCGTCTGCCATCATTACTCAGTCAGTGCCGGCTGTGGCTCTTCCTGACCTCTGTCTGTCCCACGGAAGCCACTTGAAGTAGCTTCCTGCTGTCACCGATGGGTTCTAGTCAGAGCGGGGAGAAGAGGCTTCTCCATCTCAGGCCAAGCTGGGTCCCCCGGGGACTGAAGTCACGCAGGTCTGCCCACCCACAAAGACTTTTCAGCTCTTTCTGTTTGCTCCTCAACTTCGTGCGACTCTTAGAAACAAACCAGCAAACACCAAAGAATTGGTCACCTTAAAGGAATAAGTAATAGTTTATCAAGTTTCAAAGTGGGCTCAGCTTATGCAACTGAGATAACATTCATGCCTCCATCCCCGAAAAAAAAAAAGGCAAGAAGTCAATCAGTCAGTTAACAGATATTTTTGAGAGCCTGCCATGTGCTAGACACAGGGGGACACAATGGTGAACAGGTTAGATCCCCCCCCTAATTATTTAACATAATGAGTTAAATGATTTCCCGTGCAGCTGTGGCGAGGAAAAGAATAGGCCCCGTGGACCCCTGACGCAGCCTGAGAGGTGTTCCCAAGGAAAGTCATGTAGGGCGCTCATGAGCCTCGTAGAGTCAGTGCCGTAGAGCAAGGGACAAGTGGAGCAAAGTATGGCCACACGGTGGAGTTTAGATTTGCCCCAAAGGGCGTCAGAAGCTAATGAAAGGTTTTAACCTGGGGAATGGCCTGATGAGAGTTTCATAAGTTTATTAAATTTGCATGCATCACTGAGACTTACCTAGAAATGTTTGCAGAAAGTGGGTAAACCATCTTGCGTGAGATGTAACATGGGTGAAGTTTAAACCCATCAGCTTCTCCAAGTCTGTCTATCAGAGCGCAGATATTTATCTCAGAAAATGGAAATACTGCCGCCGATAGTGACTGACATGGGTGCTTAGTCTGTTTCTCCTCTTGTATAGACAGAAGAGTGCTGAAATCCTCTGAAATTGATATTTAATGGTTTGTTTTTAACAATTTACTTATTTATTTATTTTTAGAGAGGGGGAAAGGAGGGCGAAAGAAAGGAAGAGAAACATCAATGTGTGGTTGCCTCTCATACGCCCCCTACTGGGGACCTGGCCCGCAAGCCAGTAATGTATCCTGGCTAGGAATTGAACCAGCAACCCTTTGGTTCATAGGCTGGCACTCAACCTACTGAGCCACACTAGCCAGGGCTATATTTAATGGTTTGATGGTATTACTTATTTGCTACTGTTTTTCCTTTAACTTGGTAAAAGGAGAGAGTTGTTGATAGCCAAGAAAACACCCTGTGCGACAAGGATGTGGTCCGCAGCTCTCACGGGTAGGCAAGGTGTTTCTCAAGGAACTTGGCCTTTTCCCCAGCCTTCCTCTCTTGTGCAGGTCAGGGAGTGAGCTTTCTACTTCCCTTGTCTCCTATTACACAGAATTAGGAGGTGTTTCTGTTTTGTTTGTATTTCTTTTTAATGTGAGTTCTCTGTTCTCATCACCCATGGTGCTATTAGTCCTGGCTACATAGACTGGTGTGAACCACTGGGTCCACTCTCTTAAGAAGGTCAGGCAGTTCTCCTAAAAGAAGCCAAGTGGTCGATCACAAAGGTACTGCTGCTCTCCGGGGGGAAACAGAGCCTCCTGGTGCACGTGTGAAACCAGTCCGGTGGGCTACTAGCTGCATTCATTTCATATGTGACTGTGTTTAAGGGGTATTGAGCAAAAAGACACTTCTGGAAAAATAGAAAGGGCTCTGGGCCACACCTTTATAATTGGAGGTGGAAAGCAGGTTTCTACTGGGAGATGGAGGGTAACAATGGAAAAACAGGTTAGCAAGAGCGTTCCTAAGAGCTAGAAAGTTAGATCGCAATTGCGGATCCGTCTGGACCAAGGAAAAGATCCTCAGCATTTGGGTAAAAGCCACTCAACTCCATTGTCAGAGGAGGTTTTAACAGCTAAGATTTGGATAAAAAGTAGAAGCAAGGTGAAATTAGGAAAAGAAGCAGGTTTGGGGGACAGCTCAGCAAAGAAGGGCTCAAGAGGCCTTCTTGACCCAAGAGGCTAGACAAGGGCATAGAAGGCCGGGGGACATGTTTAACATGCGGGCACTGCACATATCAGAGCTAGAAAACCGCCTAGGATTCTGCAGCCCAGGTACTTCAGGGGGCTAAATGGTTAGGAAGCAACATAAACAAAATTGTTATTGTTTTAAATTTATTTATTTTTAGAGAGGGAAGGGGGAGGGGGCAGAGAGAGAGAGAGAGAGAGAGAGAGACATCAATGTGCGGTTGCTGGGGGTCATGGCCTGCAACCCAGGCATGTACCCTGACTGGGAATCGAACCTGCGACACTTTGGTTCGCAGCCCGCGCTCAATCCACTGAGCTATGCCAGCCAGGGCAAAATTGTTATTTTTGAAGATGAAACGAGTGTCTGTATAGAAAATGCAAAAGACTCCACAGAGAATTGGAGTGTTGTTCTCTACAGGAAATGATGAGACACACACTTCCCTCCGCCATTGGACCCCTGTGTCGTCTTTGACCCCTAGCCCAGGCCCAGAATGTGGAGCCCCGGGCCCCTGGAGGGCTGAGTCAGAGCCGACCTGACCGTTTCTGACCCTCAACCTAGAGATCTTTTCCCTGGTCTTAGAGTTTTGTCTAGGTAACAAAGCCTGTTATCATCATCATTATTTTATTATTAATTGATTTTGGAGAGGGGAAGGCGGGGGGGGGAAGAGAGAGAAACGTCGATTTTCTCCACTTGGTTACACTTTCATTGGTTGACGCTGTGCGTGCCCTGACTTGGGATCAAACCCGCAGCCTTGGCCCATTGGGACGACGCTCTAACCCACTGAGCTACCCGGCCGGGGCCCAAGCTCTTTATTTGTTCAATGCTTGTCTAGATCCTGTTTTGATTATCAGAAGCTGACCATGATTCTTTCTTTTTCCTTATGCATTCCTTCCAAAGATTCTAATCCTCTCTGAGGCAAAGAATGTGTCTGGATAAATAAAAGATGGTTATGTATTTTTAAAAATTGCAAAAAAAAACCCCACAATGTCTCTGACAGTACCATCCCATTCCATTAATTATCCCGAGTGGGTGAAAATATGAATAAAGTAGATTTTAGAAAATCAGCATATTGCGAAGTCTAAGTGTGACTTGCAGGACAAATGAAAGCTAGAAGTAGGCAAAAAAATAAAAAAGATGGGAGCGGGGTGTTTCTGAAGAGGAGAGATGGCCGAGGCCTGGGCGGCTGTATGTGGGGAGCACGGCGCCTGTGTGGTTTGGTGGGAGTGACCGAAGATGAGGCTGGCGGCTCGGGCAGGGGCTCAGATCCCAAGAGAGATTGCACATCTCCCTAAACGCGTGGCTCTTTCCTGTGGGCGGCCACAGACAGCGATGGCTCTGAGGTTGGGTCTTCGGGTTGGATCAGTTGAGCAAATGCACAGCCCAGATTATGTAAACACGATGTGAGAACTCTTTTTTTGTTTTAAGATTTTATTTATTTAGAGAGAGGGGAAGGAGAGAAACATCAATGTGTGGTTGCCTCTTGCGTGTCCCCTGCTGGGGACCTGGCCCACAACCCAGGCATGTGTCCTGACTGGGAATCACACTGGCGACCCTTTGGTTGGCGATCCGTGCTCAATCCACTGAGCCACACCAGCCAGGGCTGATACTTCATTTTAAAAATCAGTCATTTAGGGTAATAGCTACTCTTTTGAATAGAGAATGATAAAAATGCCTTCCAAAGATCTAGAATACCTGTGTAAAGAATCCTTTTTCATTGACTTCACAAGGCTTTCATTCAGCTATCACGGAGAGAGAAAAATAATCAAAGATTATCAAATCAGCACTGAGGCTTTCTTACAAGATAGAAAAATATTGATTGAAGTATAAAAGTAGCTCAGTGCCATTGAAACATATACAACTACCTCTGAATGCTGAAAATAGATTTTATGGCTTTATCAAGCAATTAAAGTACACACAGAAGAAAAATGTGGATGGAATTTCTATCTATTGATTTAATTCCATTTTCTTGAAGCCAAATCTATTTTCACCTGTCACTCCATACTCTTTATTTTACACCTTTTACATGCATGATTGGAATCCCCTTATCTGGAAATGTTAGCTTTCTGGAATGTAACTCAGAGCCCGAAAGAGTGAACAATTCTGCTACAGTGGCCTGAGTTGTCATAAAATTCCAAACGGAGGATCCTGTGTGTTTCTGCTGGGGAGCTCCTCAGAACCCACTTAGTCTTACTTCAGAAAGCGTGGGGGTGTTTTTTCAGACCGAGTGTGGCGCGTGGGAGAAAAGAGATACTGGAGGCAGGCAGCAGGAAGAGAGCACACAGCTTTTGAGTGGGGAGTGAGGAGAAGTGATCTGCGGGACACAAACATGACACAACATTTTTTTCTCACGCTGTGGCCGTTCGAATGGGAATAAAAGGCTCTGTCCACCTTGGTGACTGCCCGGGGCAGCCCATGTGGTAACACCATTGGTCAGAATTACATCTCCTTCCGACGTGCCAGTGAAAGGAGGGATCAACTGAGTTCGCTCTACTTTTGAAATCCCAGAAGTGTGTATGCTAGAGACAGATGTCTTTCCAAGTAGCTTAAATTGATGACAGGTCCTGGAAATCGACATAAGAGGACTAGTTCTTGGCAGACACTGAAGAAATGAGGCACGGCCGGGCGGTGCTGTAGAGAGATGGGCAGTGTCGTCCAGGATGGGTGGTGGGAGCCGGTCACGGCGGGGAGCAACACGGACTGCGCACAGCCGCACCCCCGCTGGCTCATGCAGGCTGCGGCAGAGCAGCACAGAGTGCGGGCGTGGTCGCCTGTCTGTCCAAGCGGAGGGGCTGCAGCCAGCTGGGCTGGGGGGTCGTTGGCAATGACAGAGGTGGGCGGAGTGGGGGGCTCAACAGAAGGGTGGTAGCATGATGACTTTTTTCTGTGTATCCTGGTCATTTTCCGCTTACCTACCGGCCCACTTTGTACGGTTGTGAAAAGATCCCAATGGACTTACTGTCTCTCCACCAGAGGTTTGTTTCGGTTTCATATCAGTAAGAAAAAGACACAGAACACAGTGGGCGCGGAGAGTGAAAAAGCAGTTCAGAGAAAAAGCGTATGAAATAATGCCCGGAGGCATGTGAAAAGATGCTCAATGTTGCTAGCATTCGGGGAAATGTTAAAATCAGATTTTTTTTTTTGCCCAGTATATTGACAGGAATTAAAAGGATAGGTAATATCCCATGTTGGCAAGGAAGTGGGGGGACAGGACTTTCTTCATTGTTGATGGTAAAGTTTTCAGACCATTTTTGGAGGACGATTTGCGATGTCTGTCAAAATGTGGTCACGTCCCTTGACTCAGCCATGGTAGGTCTGCAGTCTGTCCTATGGAACTTTAGACAGGCTCTCAAAGCTGTGTTTACAGGATGTTTCAGAAGCATTGGTTTAGAAGGGCTTTTGGTAATGGCGAAAAAGTGAAATCAACCCATGTTTTCACCAGTATAGGAGTAGTTAAATTTTATATATATATATAGTCCTTGCAGTGGAATCTTATACAGCCATGAAAAAGAACCAGGTGGGGTTAAATGTGCTGACTGACACAGCAAGATTTCTAGGACTAAAGTGGAAACAAAACCAGTTGTAGAACAGTTCCCGTTGTTTGCTATTTATGAACAAATACAAATGAAGCCATTTGAGGGTATAGGTCTTACATGCCCAGGAATGGGTTGTGGGGGAGTGCCCACCGAGTTGTTAACTGTGCTGGTGAGGGAGAGCGGGCCTGGGAATGGCAGTCAGTGTAGTTGGACTTTGATTTTTTATGCTAAATATTATTGAGCATCACTTACCCAGAATGTCAAGTAGCTGACTTATTCAGGATAAACAGTATTTCAGGAAAATTCAAACAGCTGAATTATAAAAATAATAATAAAAAACAAAAAATAAATGGAAAAAGTATGAAACGTGTTACTGTACATGTAACAAATTCATTTTAATTCTTAGTTTTTGCACAGAAAATCAGAATTTTCCACATAGACTTGTTTCCTTTAATGAGGGCAGAAAAGCATCTGGCCAGGCTAAAAATAAAAATAGGGAACTTGAAGTTGTCAGGAAATCATCATTGACCTGCTGAGTATGGGAATCCCCACGATTACCAGAAGTTTTAGATTTGAGGGTGATGGACCAATTGTCTTTGAAAAGCTCTGCCAGGGTCACTTGCTTGGCTGTCCTATACCTCTTCCTTTCACAGTTTCCATGACCTTCCCATCCGAAATATATGACCTTTGTCCCTTACGCGATATGGGGACAATGGCCCGTGCTGGAATGTCTCTGGTTCATCAGTTATAATTCAGCTCCCCCCCTCCCACCCGAGTGAACTGCACGCATTGGATCACGGTGACATCTCCACTTGGTCTTTGTCCCCCGTGGCTCTCACCGCCACAGGAGCCCTGCACAGTGGCCACTGTCTCTGCTAGTCCAGTGGGGTCTGTGCACTGTGCACAAATTGACTTGTATGATAAACATTTTGTGAGGACCAAGGAAAGGTTACGAGGATCAGGAAGGTATTGTTGACATCCGCCGAGTCCAGCGATTCAACCCTTTTCCTCTCACGGCACACACAGACCCATCACTAGAATTCTGCAGCACACCAAAAGTGTATTTTTTGCAGATCTGACAAAGAAGATGGGTACAATTTTGATTCATTCACACTGGATAGCTCTTTTGTTGTTGTTGTTGTTGCTATTGTTCAAGCACAGTTTTCTGCCTTTTCCCCACCACCCCTCCCCAGCACCCCAGCCCTCCCCACCTCCCTCCCCTCTTTCTGCCCCCCTTGTTATTGTCCATGTGTCCTTTATAATTGTCCCTGCCTACTCTTCACTCTTGTCCCCCACCACCCCCTCCCCTCTGATCACTGTCAGCCTGCTCTCAGTCTCATGGATGGCTCTGTGCTCGCTCCTGCGGCGCACCGGCTGGAAATCGCTGGCTTAGTCAATGCTCATCATTTCATGATGTGTCAATGATCTTATAAACTACGTACCTTCTTTTATACTAGTTCTTACCCTTTTTTCTTATTATTTCTAGGATATTACTTTATGAGAGATGCCATCGCTGCCCAAAGGAATTGCCCTTACGATCCCAAAAACACCGTGATGTTTGCCGCCCGGGTCCTGGTCGGAGATCCCATCGAGGGGAATCGGAGCTACACGAGCCCCCCTTCACTGTACGACAGCTGTGTGGATTCCAGGTTGAACCCGTCCGTCTTTGTCATCTTTCAGAAGGATCAGATTTACCCGGGATACGTGATTGAATATACCGAAGCAGATAAAGATAAAGGCTGCATGATTAGTTAGAAATGACGAAGACACTATCTTAAAGGATGCCGTAACCTTTCCGATCACTTACAGAAGCAGATGGCCACAGAAAAATAGTGAAATTTTTTTTGACATTTCCTTGCCTCCTTATCAAATGCCTTGGATCGGTGGTTCCCAAACTTTGCTGCACATTTTAAATCATCTGGAAACTGCAAAAACCCCCAACGTCCAGAATGCACCCCGTTCCAACTAAATCACTGTTTCCACGGTGACAGACAGCAGTATGGGGTCGCAGAGGTCAGGTCGGGAGCGCTGCCTTAGAGATGACTGGGGGTTTCTATAACTTCTGTGACTAAAGCAACCTCTCTCTCTCCACCACTCTTATAGTTTACTGGATGGCCTGGTTTTGTTCGGGTTAAACTAAAAAAGAATTAATTTGGGAACTTGGCAAGAAATGTCCAAATGCCTGTTGACATAAGGGCGTAAGGGACGTAAGATAGTGATTCCATCCGTGGATGGAAGATTGAAAAGTTGGGGCGGAGAATGCTTAGGAATATGCGGGGGCGGGGGGGGTGGGGAGTAAAGGTAATTTAAATGCCGTTACAGACGCAGCTATGGTGCTATACCTTTGTAGTGAAACTGGTGTGAGGCATACATTGCGTTATTTCTACGTTTATTTAGGGGGGCTCCATTCAGGTCGACTCTGGAATTCAATGAGAAGAGTTGCCAAGTGTGGCTCGGAAGGAAGCGCCAGCTCGAATCGATGGCCCATTTGGGGTCTTTGTATACTTAGAGCCAAGTAGACATTTGTACTCTAACCAGTAGGGTTCCAAGGCAGGCTTCGTTCAGGTCGGCTTTCGTGAAGTGCGTGTGTCTTTTCGGAGTCCTGGGATGTAGTAACCGGAGTCACACCATCACGACCGATAAACCCAAGTGCCCCTGTAGTCTTCGCCGTGGTGGGTGGGGCTCCCCTGGGAATTGGGAGCAGGGCCCTCCTGTGCAAGTCTGGGCCCCTACGAGGTGAGATTTATTCCTGGTGAGCATAGAACCGGAACACAGAGAACAGTGGCTCCAAGGGGCCTCGGCCCTGCAAGGGGCTGCTTTTTCTAGGTGGACCGTATTATATGGAAGTGGAGCGCAGTCAGTTTTTAGGGCGGCGGTGGTGTGCGCACCAAGTTCCTCATTATGAATCAGGTCTTTCCTTTCCGTTTTCCTTTACAAACATTCCACCCTCATCTCCAAAATGGCCTGTTTTAGTTCCTTCCAGAAGACACGTTACGAAAATTACTGAGCATTCCAGATTTTATATTAGTCAGATTTTTGATCGGTGCAAAGCATGCCACAACTCCTTGGCTTAAAGGGCTGTACCAATAACAAATGTATGGAGATATTTCAGCGTAGGGTTATTTTCTGGGAGGCTTACCACAAGTAGTTACTCTCCATCACTTATTTTTTTTTCATGGTAGCTTCTGTTTTGGAGTTTTCATTTCCTGATCTGACCCTCATGTTGCAGAGATGCAATCTATCTGACTCTGTCTAACTGCCCTCTGCACATCTCTAGTGGAATATTTCACAGGCATCTCGACGTCACCATGTCCAAAACGGAATTCCCATCCCGCCTCCCTCAAACGAACTGGTTCCTCCCCGTATTCTGTATGTAAGTCCGTAGTATCGCCATCCACACCTCTGCTCAAGCAGAAATCCATCCGGAAGTCATCCTGACCCCTCCCTCTGCCTTCCCCAGGGCTCCTAAGCTGTTCCCAGGTTGTTTTCCCCCTTAAATATCTCTTTGCCCCCTTCTAAGTTCTTCTTTCCTTAGCCAGAATGGCCGTATTTTTTCAATGTTTACTTAGTAATCTTTCAAAACATAAATCTGATCATGCCTTTAGAGTAAAGTTCCAAATCATTATCATGGTCCCACGTGATCGCTGCCCCCCCACCCCAGCATTTATCTTCTCCCACACAAGCTGTTCAGACTCTCTGTCCGGCCTTTGCTACCCTCTCCTCGCAGCTCAGTGGTTCTCAGCTAGCACTCCTGCCTTTTTTTTTTTTAATAACAAATACTTTGTAACATCCACTTTATCATCCTCAAAATGCAATTCAGTGGTAACATACTCTGCCTACACACAGTTTTAGAAATAAGTTTACAATGAAGTAATATGAACATAAAAGGGAAATAAGAAGTACACAACTCAGGCACGACTATACCAGAAGACCTAATTAAGTAGTCAGATGTTTACACCTACTTACAACGAATAATTTGAACTTAAAAGAAGGTAGCAGATCAGAAGCTAATTTGTATCAAGAAGTGTAGGAAAATACAACAGCAGGGATACAAGTGGACATTAGAATAGAAAACAGTGATACAATAACTTACTTGCTTATGGTAATACGTATTTCTGTAAGAACACCCTCATTGAGAGAAAGTTACTCTGCAAGACAATCAATCTACAGATTGTCGAAATGGAGAAAATGAGGACATATATTTTTTGACAGACGTGCCGTAGTTGATACACGAATGTCTGGTGAGACATTCAGAATTCGTATAGGGTGTAGAAGCATTCCTTACCGTGAGGAGGTGTCCAATGTATTGCAAACTGTTCGGCATACTTGGCCCTCACATACTAAGTGGCAGTAAAGCCCTTCCCGCCCCCAGTTAGGGTGACAGCCACACGCCCTATCAGATCTAGTCACCTTTTTCATAGCAGTTTGTAATATCCCTTTCGCTGTCCTGAGATGACTCATCAATAATGCAGTCTATTTACACACATGCATTGCTTTACAAATCAATTGATTGCCTAACTTTTCTAAGGGAGAAGCAGGAGGAAAGCAATTTGTGATGAAACTAAACTGAACTTCAATGTGGAAATGCTCACACATGACTATGCTAGGCAACATCATGAGGTAGGTATTTATTTCAGCTTAGTGAATAGGGTTGGATTTAAGAGTCGCTCAGAGGCTACTTCCTGTACAGAAGTATAGGCGAATGAAAGAAGTACAGGTGACACTAGAATGAAGACCAGTGTTGGGGTTAAGTGGTAACAGACCATACACCTTATCTGGAAGGGAAGGGAAAGAGCGAAATTACCTTACTTTGAACAATGATAATAGGACAAGACAAAGTACAGGTTGTCTAAGAGGAAAATACTAATTGTATTCTCTTGGGCGAGCTGTAGGTCCTCCACATGTGTCCAGCAGGACATTAGAAAGTCGTATAGGTAACAGAATAATTCTCCGTCGTGTGGGGCTAGCCCATACACTGCAGGACATGTTATCCCTGGCTGCGTCCACTGAGTGGCAGTAATGGTCCCCCGTTATTATGACACCAACAACCTATCCATTTCCAAACTGTCACTGCTGAGAACCACTGACTCAGTTCATTCCCAGCATCCTCAGGTCAGCTCGCTTACCTCCATCAGGAGTCCTATAGATGAGATTGGATGTGTGCCTCCCCAATGCCCAGTTTTTAAAATACGGCGTGCCTTGCCTTGTTCATTTCCAGCATCTCTCCCCCCGGAAGCTGTCTGCTTTCCGCTTTAGAATGTAAGCTCCTTGCGGGCCGAGTCAGGCTGTCTCGTGCACTGTGCCATACCTCGTAACGGGCTGAGCGCTTCGTATGCTGAGACCATGAATTCTGTTGAATAAAGTAAGCTTCACCAATTTACATTTCAGTAGTGGCGTTGTCTTTCTTGTTCTTCAAGCTCATTTCGAGACTAATAAAAAGTACATGTTAATTTTGCTCTGCTCCCCGTCTTTGCTTGATTTCTAGGTATCTCCAAAAAAGACCATCAACTGCAGACACCAGTTTATTCACTGAGGGGTAGGGGATGTGTTTTTTCCTCTCCGGCTTTATCGTCCCGGGACTCAATGACCATGACACGGCCAGCGAAAGGCAGGGTGGTGGTGGTGGTGGTGGTGGAGAAGCCCCCCTAGCCAACTGGCACATCTTTTGTTTCGGGGCTTAGAGACACCTTTCCTGTGGTCAGGGGTGGGACCGGGGCCAGGCTGAGGCAGAAAAGGTAAATATGTAAAGGTAAATGGTCATCAGAATTGTCCTTACAGTCACTCCTTTAAAAGCCCTTTTCATTGTTTAATCTCAGAATGGGTGGAGAGAGAGAGGACCGAAATCCCTATGTGGCAGTGTGGCTTTGATTAAAGTGAAGGCAAAATTGCCACTTGCACCTCAGTGTAAGTACAATAATGGACAGCCAACGGGTCGCTGCCAGAGTGCCCGCATTCAAATGCACGAAAATGCCGTCAAATCAAGCGTGAGTGGACGTGTGCGTTTCCCAACTAGCTCTTTGTCCTATTTGTTTGTTTGCTTTGTCAGAGCAGGCTCTCAAGTGTCCACACATGTTTAATGTGGCTTGTCCCCAAGGTTTCATCCTCCTCAGCTTTTCACTCTTCATTTTTGCTGAGTGATCTTAACACCTCTCACAGCATGCATTTAAAAAACTTACCAAAATTGGTGAATTTTTGTGTAGCAACTTTAATATTGAAGACAGAAGAAGATGCACAACATTTTCAGTGTATTATGCTTTATTATTTCAAGAAAGGTAAAAATGCAACCAAAACGCAAAAAAAAAAAAGATTTGTGCAGTATACGGAGAAGGTGCTGTGACTGATCAAATGTGTCAAAAGGGATTTGTGAAGTTTCTGGGTACTATTGACATTTTGGTCTAATTCTTTGCTGAGGGGCTGCCTGATGCATTGGAAGATGTTTAGCAGCACCCTGGCCTCCACCCACTAGAAGCCAATAGTGGGAGAGAGCTGACATTCTCAAAATATCCAAATGAAGAAAGTTATTGGTGAAAATGAAAAATGTGTCTTTTATTTTACGGAAAAAAGCAATGAATTTTTGGTCAACCCAATACAACACGCTGCCTACCGAGCATCTCATCTTGGATTGTCCATTGCAATCTCAATACAATAAAAACTGAGATCATAACCCCCCAAATCCTGTTTCTTCCTCTGTTATTCTTCGTCTTGTCTTGCTTTCCTAGAAATACATTCTCACTGCTGCCAGGGATCTTTCTAAAACACCTATCTATCCTACCATATGGCCAGGCACTGATTTAAGTGTGGGGATATAGCAGTAAACAACACCAATGAGATTCCTGCTTTCACGCCCTTGAATTCCAGAAATGCATAAATAAACAAGAAGAAACATTATCAGTGGTAAGTTCCATATGGAGACTGGGGAGCTACTTTAGCTTGGGAGGCTAGAACAGGCCTTGATGGAGAGAGGACTTGAACTTCTAAGCTCAGAGTTGAATGGCAAACAGGAGATATCTAGATCAGGGGAAAGCGTTCTAGGCAGGGGATCATGTCGCTTCGCAACAGAAATTCCTGAAGTGGTTTCCCAAGTCTTCACTATCTAAGTCCAAACCTCTTCGCACGGCAGAGGTGGTTTTCTGGCATCTGGCCAGTTACTGTCCTCTAGACATTACAGAACATGAACTCACTGGGTCCTCAGAACCACCAACTAGGCCAGTGGAATTCCTGAGTTATGTCTTATTCGTCTTTGAACTAGGTCGCTGCATTAGCTCAATAAATGTTCATTAAATGGGCAGGGTGTGGGGCCAAGAGCATAGCTGCTTAATCCATGTCCAGGTCTAGACCTGTGCTGTCCACAGAAATAGCAAGTGAGCCGCATGGGTTATTAATGAGGTACTTTGCATTTTCTTCATTCTAACCCTTCGCATTCCAGTGTATGCACGTCACACAGCACATCTCAGTTGAGACTGGTCACATTTCAAGTGCCGGGCCACCACATGTGGCTAGCTAGTGTCCGCCTCCTCAGAGCTTTCTCATACTAATTACCTGAGGCCACTGGGCTCCTTGTACCCCATGACCAAAAAAATCAGAGACGTTCTAAGTCAAGATTGCAGCAGAGGGAGAACGAGACAGAACAGTTAGACTGTTAGTAGCCGAGGACCAGCTCTGATACCAGATTGCTCATATTCCTGTGTATCTGTTGGAATTTGGGATTAATTGCCAGGTGGCAGTCGGATTATCCCAGAGACAGCAGCCAGGCACCATCCAACCCTAAGAGCCTTGGCTTTGCATTTGCACGTGAATTTTCCAATCTGCTGCTCACAGCTAATCCACAGGAGGGGGCCCTCCTTCCTCTTCTTCTTATTATTATTATTATTATTATTACTTACACAAGTTCATTCTTAAACGTACAACAGGCTCCAGAACAATGCTTCAGTCTAGCTATAGGTGGCAGGAATGTTAGGGCCCAGATGCTGAAACAGGGATGGCATTTAGGGTCAACCCTGCCCCATGTGCCAGGAACAGCTCACTTTTTGCCAGATTTCTTAAATCCCCCTGTGGCCAGGGGGCCCTGCCCACCCTGGACCCGAGATTTTAGCTCCTCGAGTTTCTTTTTTTGCTTCTGCTTGAAAGCCTTATCTCGTCCATCTCCTTGGCCTGCTTCTTGGGCTGTTTCAGGGGCCTTTCTTGCCACCTTCCACAGCAGACTTGGCGAGGTGCCTGCCGCCCCTTCCCCTGGAGCTGACACTTCGTCCTCGCAAGCAGACCTGCTTCACCGTCTCCCATCCCACTGTCTGTAGCTGATGTAAATCCTTCCAGACCCACTTCCGGCGCCCCGACCCAATCCACTTGCTGTATAAAACCGCTTGCAAAACCCCAGGACAATGGACATGCTGTCCTTCTTCCCTAACATGTTTCTGGAGGTTTAGACTCCATGCCCCAAGACTGGTCTTACTTTTTTTGCTACCAAGGGCCTAATAAACCCTTTCTTTTAAAAAGACTTTAGCCGTGATAGTTGAAATTCTTTGTTTAATTCGCACTACCTATGTCATCTTTGCATTCCTTACCAGTGTCTCGAATTCTGTCATTTGTTTGCGTGTTGTGACTCCCCCCACCCCCCACACACAATCCCTCCGTGCCATCCCTCAGGCACGGATTCACCTTGACCCGCGCCTGGCACAGAGCGGGCGCTCAGGAAGTACTGTTCCTGCCCGGTCCGTGTCCAGGGGGCCCCACTGGGCCCACGGCCGCCGCCTCCCCCGCCCCGCCCCGCCAGCCCTCCCCCAGACTGTCTCGGGATCTTGGTTTGAAATCAGGGACGTGACTGGGAGGAGTCTGCCCGCGGTGGATTTCCGCGCTGGGCTGCGCAGGGAGCCGCGCCGAGAGCATGGCGGAGCCCACCGTGTGCTCCTTCCTCACCAAGGTGCTGTGCGCCAACGGCGGCCGCATGTTCCTGCAGGACCTGCGCGCCCACGTGGAGCTCTCGGAGGCCAGGCTCCGGGACGTGCTGCGCCGGGCCGGGCCCGACCGCTTCCTGCTGCAGGAGGTGGAGGCGAAGGACGGCCCCTGGGACGCGGAGGCCGAAGTGGCGGCCGGCGCCGTGGGCGCGGGCGGCGGCGGCCCCTCGGCCTGCAGGGTGGTGGCGGTGTCCTCGGCGCGCCTGTGCGCCCGCTACCAGCGCGGCGAGTGCCAGGGCTGCGACCAGCTGCACTTCTGCCGCCGTCACATGCTGGGCAAGTGCCCGAACCGCGACTGCTGGTGAGGCACCGCGGGGAGGGGCGGGGCGGGGGCCGGGCAGCCTCGGGCCCGGGCAGGGGCGCCACCCCCGCGCGCGCGAAGGCCGCTGGAAGCCGGGACACAAAGGAGTTGAAGAAGGGGGCGGTGTGCCGGGGGCCGGCGACCTCCTCGGAAAGGGCGGAAGGGAAGTCTCCGGAAGGGGCCCCGCTGGGTCCTCCAGAGGAGGCCCGCCCTGGTCTGGTGCGGAATGAGGAGGGAGGCCAGCTCAACTGGGGTTTCTCAGACATCCCTGCCCGCGGACCCTGCACAGCACGGCTGGGAAAAATCAGGATTGGGGCTCTGGGGTTCATTTACTCCAGTGGTCTTTTGCCGGGTATTTGCGGATCCCATCAGATCCTTGGGGCCTGTTACACCGAGGTGGCCTCTTCCCACGTGAACACAAAGTTTTACAGAAACCAGTCTGAACTCGCTAGGTTTAGAAAGACCCATCCAGTCTGACCCTCGGGGACCGGAGGGGGTGGATGATTTGGGAGAGGTCGTCTGGGGCTGCCTTGGTTCACTCAAGCTCCCCAAAGCAGGGCCGGGGGCACGTTGGCGGCCTGTGGGGGTGGGCAGCTGTTTGGGGTGCAGAAGGCAAGTGCGGTCATCTGTGAAACAGGCGGGCACTCTCTGTCAAGGCAAGTGACTGGGGGCGGGGCAGGCTTGGCTTTACAGCGCCCTCATTTAAATGAAACAAACAAACCAACAAAATAAACGAAACAAAGCCCCAAAGCCCCAGCCCTGCCCAGTTGGTTGGAGCGTCATCCCGTAAACCTAAATGTCGCGGGTTCTGTCTTGGTCAGGGCACATGCCTGGGGTGCAGGTTTGGTCCCCAGTTAGGGCGCCTACGAGAGGCAACCTGGGCCTCTGATCCAGAGCTGTGTGTCCTAGGTCTACCTGTACCCTTTCCCATGATATCCACACACCTGTCAACATCCAAGTCCTGAAAAACCACGGGCTTTTTGGTCTCAATGAGGCCCAGCTTCGGATTCTGCTTTTACAGAACGACCCCTGCCTTCTACCGGAGGTGAGTCATCAGGAGTCGCCGTCAGGTGGTCTGCGGTGGGGGTGGGGGTGAGTGGGGAGCGGGCGAGGGGCGAGGGGCGAAGTCCCGAAGTCCCGACAGCCTGAGGTGTATGGGGGTGGGGTGGGATTACGGTACAGGGCTGACCTTTCTGGAGTCTCTGGTTTTACTGGACTTCAGTACATAGGGAATGACAGATTCCTGTGGTATACACACATAATAATAATGGCTACTTTTTTTTTGAGTGAATGCTAAACGCAAAGCAGTTTATATACTTTAGCTCATTAATAACCTGCCCCCATTTTGCAGGGGTGGAAACTGAGTTTCAGCTAGATCATGTAATTCACCTAAGGTCACGCAGTAAATGGCAGATTTGAATTTAGGTCTGTCTGTGAAGCCTGTGTTTTGTGAATGGCCCGTTTATGCTTTTGCCTTTTTTTTTTATGGAGGCATGTATCTTTTCCTGTGAATTGATAAGATGTCTTTAATGATAAAAAAACTATTTTCTGGTCATATTTGTTATAAGTATTTTCCGCCATTTACTTATTTGGGGGCCTTAGATGCCGATTTTAATTGCTTTGAGACAACATGATTTTGTTTCAAATGCTTAAAAAGTACCCACCATCACTGCTATAATGGCAAAGTTAGTATATTTGTGTTTGTTTGGCTAGACACAAATAATATTTTAAAAATAAAATAGCCCTGCCCCGGCTGATGTAGCTCAGTGGATTGAGCGTGGGCCTGGGAACCAAAGTGTCACCAGTTCAGTTCCTAGTCAGGGCACATGCCTGGGTTGCAGGCCAGGTGCCCAGTAGTGGGGCACGAGAGGCAACCACACATTGATGTTTCATTCCCTCTCTTTTTCGTTCCCTTCCCCTCTCTCTAAAAATAAATAAATAAAATCTTTAAAAAATAAAAAATAAACAAAATAGCCCTGGTCGGTGTGGCTCACTTGGTTGGAGCATTGTCCCCTTACCGAAGGGTTGCATGTTCAATCCCTGGTCTGGGTGTGTATGGGAGGCAACCAATTGATGCTTCTCTGTCCCTTCCTTTCTGTCTAAGGAGCAATGAAAAAGTGTCCCCGGGTGGGGATAAAAAGAGAAATAAATAAAAATAAAATAGTTGGAGTCTCAAAGGAAAATTTTACAAGACACTGCCAATTCAAAGTAGAGTTTTCTAAACATTGATGTTTTTTCCCTCTGCCTCTCTCTAAAAATCAATAAACATATCCTCTGGTGAGGATTAAAAAAAAAAAAAGAATTGGTCTCTCCTTGAGTCAAGGGGGCCAGCTTTTAATACCTGCGCAGAATTCCCTCACTGGTTACAGGTTTTGGGAAAGGTGGGCAGGTTAGCTGAGTGTTAGCACAGCTGGGGGAGACTGGGAGGGAGCACCGTAACCCTACCCATCCGCCTTTCTCCCAGTGATTTTAACAGCCATTGGCTTAAGAACCTTTCACTCAGCGATTTTAACAGCCGTTGGCTAAAAAGCCGCAGTGAAAACCACTGTTTTCAGTGTCACCTCATTTCTGCCCCAGGTGTGTTTGTGCTACAACAAAGGCGAAGCCCTGTACGGTTACTGCAACCTCAAGGACAAGTGCAACAAGTTTCACGTGTGCAAGTCCTTTGTCAGGGGAGAGTGCAAGCTGCAGAAGTGCAAACGATCCCATCAGCTCATTCACGCGGCATCCCTGAAGCTGCTGCAGGACCAGGGGCTGAACGTCCCCAGTGTCGTTAACTTCCAGATCATCTCTACCTACAGGCACGAGAAGCTGCACAAGATGCTCGAAAATAAAGGTGAGACCGTCAGAGGTAGACAGAGCTCCGTCCCTGATGTCACTTTGACCTGAAAGCGCTTCATGGGTTAATTAAGTGCTCTGTCCTAGGGGGAGCTTGGGACAGTCAGCATCTGTGAGAGAGAACTGTCTGTGGTTGTAGCCAAGCAGGGAAGGGCTCCAGTTTATTTTCAGGGCTGCCAGCTCATAACACCTGCCCGAGTGTTTGAACAGTGCGGCTCCTTGGTAGGTTGGGGGTCGTGAAGTAGGTAGACCAGTCTTAACCTCTTCACTAGGAAAAAAGAGGAGGGAGGTGGGCCAGTGACTGGAGAGGTAAGGATGATGTAGTGAGGCTTTCTTTATAAATTGAATTAAGGTTTCTTTTTTCCTTTTTTTTTCTTTTAAAGAGAAAGAGAAACATCAATGTGTGGCTGCCTCTCGAGCGCCCTTCCCACTGGGAATCTGGCCTGTAACCCAGGCATGTGCCCTGACTGGGAATCGAAGCAATGACCCTTTGGTTTGCAGGCCAGTGCTCAATCCACTGATCCACACCAGCCAGGGCTAAATTTTCTTTTTTTAATTGTTAGGAAAGTTTAACCACATTACGGAAAAATTTGGATAATAGAGTAGAAATAAAAATTGTACATGGCTCCACTTACTCTAATACACAGTAATTGTGACCATTTACTTGCAAGCCCTTCAGTTTTGTTGCTGTACAAAGACTGGTCCAGTCGTGGTCAAAGTAGGTACTGGTGTAATGTCTTAAATTGTCTCTTTATCCAACGTCATGACCATCTTTCCATATCGCTGCTCGGTCTGTCACTGTTTAGGTCTACGCAGTATGGTTTGGTGTTCTTTCATTGTGATGCATTTAGGTAACTTATTCTATTAGATTTGCCTGTAGCTGGAAATCAGTTTTACTGGGTGGTCGGCTCAGGAGAGCTGTTGATGGGAAGATTGTTATCATCAAAGCAGAGTCTCTAAGCTTTTACCATGGAGCTTTCTTACGTTGAGATGGTAGTGGCCGACTTCATGGGCAGGTGGCATGAAGGTAGGGGGCCTCTGCGTGTCCCGGTGTTGGAGGCTATCTGGGGCACCCTGAGTGGCGGCAGGGGCCTTCTCCTCTGTATTGTGTATGGGATCTGTCATGATCTCCATCTGGTCTTGGGTAGTGGGTCCCTCCTACTATGAAATAGTTTCTTTCTGCCTGCTCTGTGTGTGTGCATGGTGCGGACCCTGGCTCGTGAGGTCCGCCACATTGTGGATGAGGCACGAGAAAGTCACACGGACTACTGAGTCCCGTGGAGGAAAAGGGACGGCATGGCTTCTCTCTCAAGAGGAGAAAAAGCCTCAGCCCTCACCTTGACTGGCCTTTATTTCTTTTCTGGGCACATTACATGATGGTCCTCATTTACTAAGCACAGGTTCACTTTAGGTGGTTACTTTTTACAGAAAACAAAGGAGAGGATGTTGCTAGTCACATCACAGAAGAAGGATACTTGCAAATGCAAAGGGAAAAGTGGTTGAACTGGTTACACTTGTCCTTAGAAGGTTTAGCAAGGATTTTAGGAATTTACCTTGAAGATATGCAGTAAATGTTTGCTGCCTCAATTCAGGTTGAGGGAGTTTCAGTAAAAGCAAGTCTCATAACAGTCTAGGTACAGTGCAGGCCTGATTCCCCACGGGAGAACCTGTCCGTGGGTGTGGGTCCTGTCTGGGCCCACACCATGCAGAACGGTCTCCTATATGTGCATATGTGTGTTTAACATATTTTAAATCCGAAGACCCAAACTCTCCAGAGTTTTGTCTGAGATCTGATTCACTAGGCTGATGTTGCCACTATAACATGAAACTTAGAAATGACAAAAGGAGTGTCTTAGGAAGCCTCATGTCTTTCTTCTTTCTAGATAATTCAGCTGCTTCTGCTGAGCACGCACAGAGCCCTGAGAAGCAAGGAGGGCCCGTTGCTGTGGCTGCAGAAGCCCGTCCCCCGGTTTCTGTCCCTGCCCCGTCGGCCAAGAAGCCAGGTAAACCATAAAGGATGTCAGCGAAATAGGAGAAGCTTCTGCAATTGGAAGGTCGGAAAACAAAGCTTCTGTTGAGCTTCGATTTGTAACTATCCATTCACTGAATGATCTCTTAAAAATACCTACCTCACAAGGTGCTGTGACAATTCAAGAAGATGCAAAAGGAGACATTGTCCGATTTGGAGGATAAGGTTGGGGACGAGGTTGGACACAGAGCAGGCAAAGGGAGGGTAAATCCTGAGCGCAGGTGGGGCCCGTGCAGGGCGAGCCCTGGCTGTGGCAGCTTCTGCCTGCAGTTCCTGAGAGCTCTTTTCCCAGGCTGGCGGGAAGCTCCCACACACGCAGCTCCCTGCTGACCTGCTCGGTGGGCCGGCCACGGGTTTTCCGTATGCCCATGTGTGCCGTTTCAGTACGTCACCTTCATGTCCTTCCTTTTCCACTCAATGTGCCATAAGCATCCTCCCGTATGTGTTCACGTTTATCACACATGATCATTGTTATGCACAGAAGCACGAATATATCATAGTTTACTTGTTGCCCTTATCCTGGGGAAACAATTTGCTGGGATTTCCAACAAATTTTGAATATAACTCTTCAAATCCACACAATAGTGAATTTTTAAAGTTAGTCTTTTGCTTGGCTTATAGTTGCAAAATGATAGTGCTTTTTGCATTTCTTTAAATTTAGGCGCGGGTGAATATTTTTCTGTGTGTGCTTCCTGTAGGTCTTTATTTTGTGCATTTTGTACATGCCCTTTAGTTACTGGGGCATGCGATTACCTCCTCTGTGCTGATGAGGGATGGCCTTGAATTAGGTGCCTTAATTTTTTATAAAAGGATGTCAACCGTACTGTGCTCATATTCACATCCGTCTCCTGTGGCCGCGCCCTCAGGCAGCACGGAGAGTATGTAACTGCTGGGTGCTGACCGCCACTTTCTACCTCACTCTGTCTACGCTGCTCTTATTAAACTCGGACCAAAGCCCACTTGCTGTGGTTTGAAGGATGTGCAGTGCATCCATTCCTCGAAATCGTGTCCCTCCTTCTATGGATCGCGGTGGACCATCAGAAAGCTATATACCTCGCCCACTGCATGTTGACTCTCCCCTTCCACCCCTCCCCATTGCCCCATCCAGATGTCGTCACTGAGTCATACCTAGATGTTCGGTTCTTTGCTTTTATCCCCTGACTGGGAATCGAACCAGCAACCTTTTGGTTCACAGGCTGGTACACTCAGTCCACTGAGCCGCACCAGCCAGCTTTGTTTTTATCAAAAGGTACCACAGAAAAGCAGCTGTATGAAATCCTCCCCTGTGTGTGCCGTAGTAATATCCCAAATGTCGATGTGTAAAGCGTTTTTAGAAATACTGAACTGTCCTGCAATAACATTTGAGAAAAAGGGGCAAGGTAGTGAGTTGGTTTTTTTTGTAAAGCTAAGTTTATTTAATTGAGAGAAACGTTTGTCATGCAGTTCTCTCTTTTCTGTTGGGGAAGGTGTCCAAAACGTGCCCCTTATAAAGGGAGGGATTGCCGCGTTCTCTCCTAATGGGCAGTGAGAGTGCTGTGACCTACGCTCATCTCCCCACTTTGGTTGTCAACGGTGGTGTTTCGGAGGGCCCCGATGTCCGCATACCTCGTTGCTTTGTGCCTGGTTCTGATTTCTCCTGGTGCTAATTTTTTTCTGAAAAAATGGTTTTATGTTTTATTATCATCATTATTTACATTTTATCCTTTTTTTCCATGTATTTTTGTTGTAAGCCATCCACAATCCTTAATGGAAACAGTATAGTATATAAGTGCGTATTCTTTACATTAAGGGACTTGGTAGGCTTTTATACTATTGTGTTTTTTTATATATCTTATAATTATGCTTTTACATATGAAGTTAGTGACCCTATGTAATCCTTGTTGCAATATTTTATCCAGATCTATAATATTCCACTTTAATCTTACTTTTTTGGTGTTTATGCTGTCTTATTTTCACTGGATGATCAGCCGTTAGAGAGTTATCATGTTAGACTTGGGGAGACGTTTCCTTCGGCAATTCACGGGGGCTTTTGAGATGGGGCCGCGCATCTCCAGCCTCCACAGAGTCAGCATAACCTAAACCGAATGATCCCCGTTTTTCCAGACTTGTTCCTCCTCTTGGTTTTTATTTTGGAGGGTCACCACCTAATGACTTAAGCCAGAAACCTGCAAATCGTCCTCTGCTTGCTTTCTCCTTGTTCCCAGTGTCACATTGGTTACATAGCATTGGAGACTTTTTCCCCTCAAAAAGCTCTCAAATTTTTACCCTTCTCTGTCCGTTTTTTTCCCGTTCCCTCCACGCTGCCTTGTCGCACACCCTCGTCACCTCTTACAGAACTCAGTGGTTTTCAGGCCACGTCTCAGAAGTTTTTTGTGGGAGTTGCTAGGTGACTCCCCTTCAATGATGGTAGCCCCATTTTAATTTTAATTTTAATTTAATTTTTTATCCTCACCTGAGGACATGCTTACTGATTTTAGAGAGAGAGAAAAGGAGGGAGATAGAGAGGGAGAGAAACGTCCATCAGTTGCCTCTTGTACATGTCCCAGCCAGGGACCAAACCCACAACCCAGGCATGTGCCCTAACCGGGAAGTGAACCCATGATCTTTCGGTTTGTGGGAAGATGCCCAACCAACACACTAGGCAGGGTGCCTTTTTAATTTTTAATTAATAGAGGACTTCATTGATTTCCTTACCACCCTTCTCTCCCTCTGTCTTCCCTTCTGCTGCCTGCTTGATCTTTGAAATTCAGACCCGCTCATATCGCTTTTTCCTGCCATAAAGTTTATCGGTCCCTATCACTAGGGGAGGAGTCATGACCTCGCATGGCCGTGGGGACCAGAAAGGTGAGTGAGTGGAGGCGGTGAGCTGGATGCAGGAGGACGGGGGGGGGCGTGCTGTGGTGAGTCGATCCATCTGCAAGGGGCACCTGCCTCTCGCCTCCATGTGGGAATGTGGTCCAGTTTGTCATATTGTCCAATTTGACAAAGAAGCCAGAATCCAATTTTTTAGAAGAAATTTTCAGATTTTAAATATCGAGTTTTTAAAATGCAGACCAGTGTCGTGGGTACAAACCTACTTGCAATTTTTTGGAATGGGCCCTTTGATCTTGCGCTGTGTGTCTAAGCGATGTTCCCCTCAGGGTCCTCTCTCTCCCCACCTGCCCCCAAACCTGGTAAGATTAGGTGCTTTAAAATGCCCAGGTAACCTCTCCCGACCCCTAGAGAGTTCTCAGATCTCTCATGTAGCACTTACTTCCGTACATGTCAGTGCCTTCTGTTTTTATTCCCTAGCTTTGAGCAAAAAACATTATTTAATCTTCTTGGCAATTCTGACACTTGGTAGTTAGATATTTTTCGGCCTAATGATGAGCTAAACTCTGCCTTTGAATCCATCCAGTCAGTGTCATATTGCTCTGCATTGTTTTTTCTTCCCACATATATATTTTAATATTCAAAAAACTTTTTCCCTGAAGAAATGTGTTATATAAAGTAAACATCCTTTCAGTGCTTCAGTTTGAAACGTCTAGATCTAAAATGAACACTTTAAGAAAATATTTGTCTTTTAGTGCATTGCCTTTGTTCTAACAGTGTGTAGAAGGCCTATTTTTTCCTAAAGTCATAGCTGCAAAAATATTTGTCTTTTCTTACTTATCTCTATTTTGTGTTAAGTAAAATTGTGATAAAAAGATTTTTAAATTTCTTATTAAATATGATGTTAGTTGTTGGTTTTAAACAAATGTTACCTACTTAAAGGGAATCACATCTATTGTTTGTTAGAAGCTTTTAGTAGGAATTGGTATCTTTGTTGTCATCACAAGTTTTATCATTTAAATCACTCAGTATGATTATATTAATAGTTTTCACTATATTAAAACATCCTTAAATTCTGGGTAAGCTCTACTTGACTATGGCTTTATATTCTTTTAATGTATTTTCCCTCTAATTGGTAACTTTTATTTTAAGTGTATGCATTTATACATTTATAAATAAAATACATTTACACTTTATGTGTGTGTATAGTAATTTCTCTTTGTTTTTATCATGAGATACTCACTATACTCACAGTAAATTTTTTCCTGAGTGCTGTTTTGAGTTTTGTCCACTGATATGTGATGTCATTGTTTTTGTTCTTTTCCGGCTTTATTGAGACATAGTTGCCGTTATCGCTGTGGGAGTGTAAGGTGTGCAAGGTGTGTGACGCACGCACAGGTGCAGAATGATCACCAAGATGATGAGCATGGTGTGCCGACCACCGGGCACCGCATGCTCATCGCCACGTTAAGCTGACGTATTGCTGTCTCAGTGGATCAGGCTCTCTAGTATCGTCTAGGAATACTTTTCCAAAAGATTTTTTTTGGAAAATATAATAATATAGCATTGTAGAAATTTTGGGGGATACAGGAATGTATTAGGAAGTAATAATTACCTATCATCCTAGTGTGTAGAGGCAATCACTTAATACTTTAGGATATCCTTTTTAGTCATTTTTTTCATGCACATGTTCTTAAATATTGAGGATATACCATGTATACAACTTCATATTATGCTGTTTTGGACTGATATTTTTAAAGCATTTTCCTACATCATTGAAAGCATTCATAATTATATTTGATAGTTGTATTATATTTCCTATGTATCATTTATTTAATTACAGTCCTATTGTTGGATATTTATTGTTTACTATATTTGGCAGATAAATCTTTGTCTAAATTTCTGATTATTTTATTAGAATAGATTTCTAGATATGAATACTCTTCCAGAGATACTAATACTTTTATATTTTCCATGTTTTCTGTATGCCTTTTATTTAATTTTATTATTTTATTTTTTATTGATTTTAGAGAAGAATGGAGGAAGAGAGAGAGAGAGAGAGAGAGAGAAGCATTGATTGGTGGTTCCACTTACTTATGCATTCATTGGTTGATTCCTGTATGTGCCCTGACTGGGGATCGAACCCCCAATCTTGGTGCATCAGGACAATGCTCTAACCAATTGAGCTAACCAGCCAGGGTCAGAAATATTAATATTTTGGTAATGAAAAAGTACTTCAAAATTGTCTATTACAGCGGCTGCACCCCTTACATTCTCAGCGGCGTGGGGACGCTTGTCTTCAACAGCCTGTGTTCCAGGCTCGTTCTGATGGAAGAGACGGGGTACCTGTTGTTTGCTAAGGGGTTCTTCTGGGCAGATATTTAGGAAGATACATTGGTAGCAAGTGCTACTTACCTACACACTAAAGGCTGTATTTTAATCAATTTATTATGCAAGAACACGGCTATGTTACGTGCAATTTCTGTTTTATCTTTACTGAGATTTCCTTTTTGCTTGACGTTTACCTGCGTGTTTTGTTTGTTTTTGTGAACTGATCATGCATTTATCTTACAAGGGTAAAACTATTTCCGTGGTGCCTCCGAGGTGCTCTCTCTCAAATGTTTATGTCCCAGGTAAATTTTTGTTTCATTTGGAAAGCGAAACCGCCTCCCTCTGATACACACAGCAGGCTCTCAGCTCAGGGAAGCGTCGGTCTGCTAACCTGCGTGGACTGTATCTGCTTTCAAGTTCCGGAGGGGATGCTCTGGCTGAGGAACACTTGGAAAGGCCTCAGACAAAGCTTCCTTTGCCTCCCACTCTTCCCCAGCCTTATCCAACCACACCAGAAAACAGACAGGCGGTCCAGAAAGCATTTTCCTTGTTTGGTCTCTTGGCTGCATATGTTCATGCTGCCTGCTCTTGTCTCCAGGTGTTGGGGCTCCTGACATCTGAATCTCGCTTTCTGAAACCGTGTCTAGCTTGGCTTCTCTTAGTGCCTGCATCTCTAGCTGCAAGCCCTTGTATCCACTTGAACCCTGTTCCTCACACCTAGCCTATCAGGTGAGATAGGAAGGAACTTTCCCAGCGGCTGCATTCCTGGGCTCCCCATCACTCACCACGCTGGCTGAGATAGTTCCGGTACAGGAGCAGCAGGCACAGAGACCAGAGACGGCTGGCTCCATGGACAAATTGCTCTGTGTTAGTTATCTGGGTGACAGAGACTAGCATAGCGTCCCCACCACGCAACCACCTGGCATTATATACCCACCGTCCTCTTTCTCCCTCCCAGGACAATCTGTAGAGAATCCAGTGAGTGCCCTGACCGCTGCCTGTCAAAGACAGAGCAACCCTCGGGGCTCACATGCGACATCAAGATACATCATCACGATGGGTTAGGTCGCGCCGCAGCAGCAAACACTACCAAATCTCGTGACAGAGTGACAGAGGTTTATTTTCCACTTGTGTTCATCCTGGTCAGGTTCCATTCTGTTCCATGTCCTTTTCACTTTGGGACCTGGTTTGACACAGTACCCCCATCTGGACCAGTGCTGCTGCCCTGGCAAGGAGAAACCCCAACCTGGCTCTTTAAAGGGTCTACTCTCATTGCATTGGCCAAAGCAAATCATGTGGGCACCCTGCGTGCAACATATGATCCTATGTGGAGGGGTTTGGTGGGTCACATGGCCAAGCCTAGTGTCAATGGGCAAGGACGATAATATGCCCTGAAGAGGGAGCAGTAAGTATTGTTAACTAGAAGATAGTCACCCACAGGATGCAGCTCAGACAGGTGGCCTTCCTTGGCTGCCGTGGACTTGGTGGGGGTGTGCATTTCCCTTTAAGAATGCTGTAGAATTCCCGATGCTGCCATACTTTTCCTGCTTCCACTGAGATGTGTGAAGCCCTGCTGACAATGGAGTTCAAACCAAGTTACTGGCTGCAGCGTTCTGATTCTGTCTTACAGCTGGAGGGACCCAGACTTGGGAAAGGCTCGGATGTGGGGCCAAGTGGCTAAACCCTTCAGGCTGAGGTGTGGCTTAGGCTGGGTGACTGGCTGTCCCTGTGTGCCCAGGACTGAGGGGTTTCTTGGGACAGTGTCAGGTGTATCGGGACTACTGGTCACCCTGCCTTAGGTGCTCTCCATGTTGCCTCTTTTTTCCAACAATGTCTTCTTGTGCAGCTGGGCCAAGGAGGTAGGTGGATGCTTTGTGTAGCATTTATAATCCCTGATTGAATCAGCGAAGCCTGGGAAGTTGTGTGTGTGCGTGCCCGTGCCTTTATTGAGGAAGGAAAAGCTCATCCTGTGGGAATGGATATTGCTTATGATTCATCCGATGAGGCAGTAGATGCTGCGTGTAAGTTACCACAGGCAATCCCAGCTGAAACAGACAGACCTCGTGGAAAACCACCACAGGGGTGGTGGTGGCTGCCACCCCACGCCTCTGGGCCTCGTTTTGCTTCTAAGATAATAGGGCAGGGGACAGCTGCAGGTGGCAGGCCAAGATCTTGAGACACTACTCATCTGTAACCACTGAGTGTCAGAGGTTTACTAGTAAAAGGACTTCATCACCAACCCGTGCACTGTCCCCTCCCCAAGTCCCTCCCACGATCACCAGCTTGGTGATAAACGTTCTCATCCACCCTCTGCCCTGAGCCTCCAAGCGCATCAGGCACCACCATTCAGTTTATGGAGGGAGGTTTCCACTCCCATGAACTTCCTAACCACCTCGTCCCTGACTATTCATGTTCTGGTCCACGTGGCCCTGCCCGTTGGTCTGTGGCTGGTTAATAAAATTATATAGGTTTTAGGTGTACAGTTCTATATTACATCATCTATATGTTGCAGCAATTTTTCAACCAGTGTGCCACAAGAATTTTTAAAACATGCAGTACCTGACTAGTCAGGGGCACTGAGATCTTTTCCCTTAGATTGTGAAATAAAAAAATGACAACAGCCAACATAACTATAGCTGTCCAATGTGAATGAATCAAAATTACACCTATTTTTTTATCAGATGGGCAAAAATATATATTTTTGGTGTGCTGCAGAATTTTAGTCACTAGTGTATGTGTGCCCTGGGATGCAGAGGCTTGGAAACCGCTGGTGTATTGTATTGCGTGTTTGCCACCTGAACTCAAGTCTCTTTCCCATTTTTGGCTCTAGGTTGACCAGATGTCTGCATACCCAATTTTAAGTTCAGGTGAGAAGAAAGCAACTAGCCAGAAGAAGTGCAACTGCCTGCCCACTAAATCCACCTTCCTTTCCCCTCAGGCTGATGCAGTACAGCACTCTGATTCTGGGTCCTAGGCTTCTTTCCTGACTTTTGGCTTTTGATGACTTTTATTTGAACTAGTGGGTACTGGTTAATTTCTGTTAATGTTTTTTCCTGTCAGTCTTGACTCTGCCCATGGGTCGTACAGCCATGCTGCAGGTCCTGCATCCAAGGCAAGCAATGTTTGTTTTAAAATGTAGACTTTGGCCCTGGCTGGTGTGGCTCAGTGGATTGAGCACTGGCCTGTGAACCAGAGGGTCGACGGTTGGATTCCCAGTCAGGGCACATGCCTGGGCTGTGGGCCAGGTTCCCAGTATGGGGGCACATGAGAGGCAACCACACATTGATGTTTGTCTCCCTCTCTTTCTCCTTCTCTTCCCTTCTGTAAAATAAATAAATAAACTCTTAAAAAATAAAATGTAGATTTTGCCTTCATTCAGGTATGTTGAAGCCAACAGATCAGGAGAAAAGACTGTATATGACTCACAGGTCCCAAGAGGAGGGGGCAAGATGCACGACGCAGAGCCACAGAGAGGACATCAAGGTCAGTCACAGGCAGAGGCAGAGAACAGGAGAGAGAGGGAGAAAGAGATGGCGAGAGAGACAGGAGTGGATAAGCAGGTTTAGGATAGGTTACTTTGAGTACCGACGTTGGGCTGTAGGGTGTGGGGGTTGCCTCTGGTTGTCTGATGCGTAGCTCTGGGGTAATGGGGCAGAATAGTGTCAGAGCAAATAAGTCAGGAGGTCTGGGGATATGAGCTCCGGTCCTGTGAGCTTGCAAAGGAGAGGGAGTGGGGACGGGACGGGGAGGAGGTTGTTGTCTATTCCCAGGGTCCTAGGGTCCTAACCCTGCGAGAGCCAAGCCCTCCTTCATCTGCAAG